AGGCCTATAATACCATCAGTAGGCCTGGGCTCTGGGTTGTTCGTCGTGCTTTTGGAGTACCTGATCCTCTGCTCACGATCATTAAGGACTTTCATGATGGTGAGCGGGCCCGGGTAAAACTACATGGCCGGGAGTCAGAGCCATTCCCTGTACACCTTGAGGTGCGACAGGGATGTCCTCTGGCTCCCACATTATTTAACATCTATTTTGACCATGTAGTTCGTGAAGCCTTCAATAGCTGTACTGGGGAAATCTCCATTTGGTACAGCTATAATGGGAGGCTGATCGATGCCCGGGTGCGGTCAAGGGATACCTCCCTATTGCTCAACCACGTTATGTATGCCGATGATTTGGTGATAGCTGCTCATTCAGGAGGAGTTGGAGACACTGCTGCTGAGACTGGAGCGTGCCACTAAGAGATGGGGCCTTACCATCAACCCCACCAAAACTAAGCACCTGCCTGGGTATTTTGTACCATCGGACACTCCACCCCCACAACTCCCAATCGGTGATGGGGCAGTTGTGGAGTGGAGAGTTTCCCATACCTGGGCAGTGTGCTCATGACCGGATCCGGTTTAACAGCAGAGGTATCACTCAGAACCAGTCGAACGGCAATATCGTTTCATCGGTTGCGTAACGCTGTGTGGAAGCTACCTGGTCTGTCACTCCGCACTAAGCTTTAGGTCTTCTCAGCCACGGTCATTCCCTCCCTTCTCTACGCTTGTGAAACGTGGACCCCCCTAATGGAACATCTTCACCGGTTAGAAACATTTAGGCTAGCCTGCCTACGATCCATCCTGGGTTTAACCAGACTGGATTGTGTGAGTAGCTCACAAATCCTTGAAAGATCTGGGCAAGGTCCCATCGGTGAGCTCCGGCGGGGAAGGCTGCGATGCTGGGTCATGTAGCCCACATGCCGAGCCACCGCATGCAGAAACAGCTTTTGTTCGGCCGGATTGAGGGGGCTAAGCGGGCGCGGCACGGGCTAGAGAAGAGATAGAGTGATGTGGTACAAGAGGACGTGGAGCTGTGTGGACTTGCCGATGACTGGTACCAGCGGTGTCAAGATCGGCCTCTGTGGAGGAGGCTCGTGAAGGACGCTACTGGGCAGTTGGAGGTAGTCGCCCTCCAACAACAACGGAGGGCGGAGGAGCGACGCTCAGAACAACGAGCGGAGCGCCGGGTGGCTGAAGCACAGCGGGTTGGCACAGTAGGGGGCACAGGTGGTGCATCAGCCAGTCATCTCAGTCAGTCGACCCGTGGCACCTGGGTCTGCCCCGTGACCTCCTGCCAGCGGGCGTTCGACACTTCACGTGGCCTCAGGGTGCACATAGCCTGGCACAAGCGTCGTGGTGACGTCACCGCCACTTAGTGGTGAATGGCGGTTGTTGTTGTTGGTGTGTTGTGGTTGTCTGTGTGTGAGTATGTGTTGGTGTGTTGTGGTTGCCTGTGTGTGAGTTTGTGTAGGTATGTTGTGGTTGTCTGTGTGTGAGTATGTGTTGGTATGTTTTTATCGGTTCACTACAGTGAGGGAAAAAAGTATTTGATCCCCTGCTGATTTTGTACGTTTGCCCACTGACAAAGAAATGATCGGTCTATAATTTTAAAAGTAGATTTATTTGAACAGTGAGAGACAGAATAACAACAAAAAAATCCAGAAAAACGCATGTCAAAAATGTTACAAATTGATTTGCATTTTAATGAGGCAAATACGTATTTGACCCCCTCTCAATCAGAAAGATTTCTGGCTCCCAGGTGTCTTTTATACAGGTAACAAGCTGAGATTAGGAGCACACAGACAGTCTCGTCCCTTCACCTGATGAAGGCCGCTTGTGTTGTGGCCGAAACGTCGTGAGAATATTATTGTGTTATTTTATTTTATCAATTTATTATTTTATTCTCATTCTACGTGACTTTACCGAAAGAACCAAAGAAGATGAATCATTGCAGTCACGAAAGCTTTAAATCGAAATTTGATCATTTCTTTGTCAGTGGGCAAACGTACAAAATCAGCAGGGGATCAAATACTTTTTCCCCTCACTGTATATGGTATTCATTATATAGTGTAGTGTATACCCAGTTTCTTAATGTGAATAGATCAGCTTATTGGAAAGTATATTGAGTAAATTTATTATATTGATGTAGTTTATATTTCATTTTTTCACATCGGTAGTAGTGGTAATTGCAGTTCTTTAGCGTCAATATGCTAATTTCCTCTGTTGATATGTAAACTCAGCTTATTGGAGAGTACATTGAGTTTATAGATAATATTGATGTAGTTTATATTTAGGTTTTTTTTCACGTTGATTTATTGTATGGTAGTAGGTTATTTGTAGTTCTTTAGAAACTCCTTTTTTGTTTTCCACATAATACACGAGCTTGATATGCAGTGGTTTGGCTGCTGCAGTTCTTTATTATTAACATTTCCCTCTCTTTATTACTGATAATCCTACATAATACACGAGAATAATATGACTTTGAGACCCCCCCCCCCCACCGCCTACACATTCCACAAGGAGTGACTTAACCACATATCTGCATTTGTCATAAATATGCTAAATTCCTCTGTTGATATGTAAACTCCTTTGTCAAGGCGCTCTCCTCCTCCCACCCAGCTTAAAAGACGCTGCCAAGCTTAGCAGTGTTCATTAGGACGCTGTCTTTCCGACAGCCTCTGTTTATTCACCTGAGGACGGCTGCTTGCGTTGTGGCCGAAACGTCGTGAGAATTTTATCATGTTTTCTTTTTATTATTTTATTTCCCTTCTACGTGACTTTACCGAAAGAACCAAGAATATGTGTTGGTATGTTGTGGTTGTCTGTGTGTGAGTATGTGTTGGTGTGTTGTGGTTGTCTGTGTGTGAGTATGTGTTGGTGTGTTGTGGTTGTCTGTGTGTGAGTATGTGTTGGTGTGTTGTGGTTATTTGTGCATGAGTATGTGTTGGTGTGTTGTGGTCGTCTGTGTGTATGTGTTGGTGCGTTGACCTGGTCAAGGCCTATGATACCATCAGTAGGCCTGGGCTCTGAGTTGTTCTTCGTGTTTTTGGAGTACCTGACCCTCTGCTCACGATCATTAAGGACCTTCATGATGGTGAGCGGGCCCGGGTAAAACTACGTGGCCGGGAGTCAGAGCCATTCCCTGTTCACCTTGGGGTGCGACAGGGATATCCTCTGGCTCCCACATTATGTAACATCTATTTTGACCACGTAATTCGTGAAGCCTTCAATAGCTGTACTGGGGAAATCTCCATTTGGTACAGATATAATGGGAGGTTGATCGATGCCCGGGTGCGGTCAAGGGATGCCTGCCTATTGCTCAACCACGTTATGTATGCTGATGATTTGGTAATAGCTGCTCATTCAGAGGAGGAGTTGGAGACGCTGCTGCTGAGACTGGAGCGTGCAACTAAGAGGTGGGGCCTTACCATCAGCCCCACCAAAACTAAGCACCTGCCTGGGTATTTTGTACCATCGGACACTCCACCCCCACAACTCCCAATCGGTGATGGGGCATTTGTGGAGCGAGTGGAGAATTTCCCATACCTGGGCAGTGTGCTTATGACCGGCTCCAGTTTAACAGCAGAGGTCTCACTCCGAATCAGTCGAGCGGCAATATCTTTTCATCGGTTGCGTAATGCTGTGTGGAAGCTACCTGGTCTGTCACTCCGCACTAAGCTTCAGGTCTTCTCGGCCACGGTCATTCCCTCCCTTCTCTACGCTTGCGAAACGTGGACCCCCCTAATGGAACATCTTTGCCGGTTAGAAACATTTAGGCTGGCCTGCCTACGATCCATCCTGGGTTTAACCAGACTGGATTGTGTGAGGAGCTCACAAATCCTTGAAAGATCTGGGCAAGGTCCCATCGGTGAGCTCCTCCGGCGGGCAAGGCTGCGATGGCTGGGTCATGTAGTCCGTATGCCCAGCCACCGCATGCCGAAACAGCTTTTGTTCGGCCGGATTGAGGGGGCTAAACGGGCGCGGCACGGGCTAGAGAAGAGATGGAGTGATGTGGTACAGGAGGACGTGGAGCTGAGTGGACTTGCCGATGACTGGTACCAGCGGTGTCAAGATCGGCCTCTGTGGAGGAGGCTCGTGAAGGACGCTACTGGGTAGTTGGAGGTAGTCGCCCTCCAACAACAACGGAGGGCGGAGGAGCGACGCTCACAACAACGAGCGGAGCGCCGGGTGGCTAAAGCACAGCAGGTTGGCACAGTAGGGGGCACAGGTGGTGCATCAGCCAGTCATCTCAGTCAGTCGACCCGTGGCACTTGGGTCTGCCCCGTGACCTCCTGCCAGCGGGCGTTCGACACTTCACGTGGCCTTAGGGTGCACATAGCCTGGCACAAGCATCGTGGTGACGTCACCGCCACTTAGTGGTGAATGGCGGTTGTTGTTGTTGGTGTGTTGTGGTTGTCTGTGTGTGAGTATGTGTTGGTGTGTTGTGGTTGCCTGTGTGTGAGTTTGTGTAGGTATGTTGTGGTTGTCTGTGTGTGAGTATGTGTTGGTGTGTTGTGGTTGTCTGTGTGTGAGTATGTGTTGGTGTGTTGTTGTTGTCTGTGTGTGAGTATGTGTTGGTATGTTGTGGTTGTCTGTGCATGAGTATGTGTTGGTATGTTGTGGTTGTCTGCGTGAGTATGTGTTGGTATGTTGTGGTTGTCTGTGTGTGAGTATGTGTTGGTATGTTGTGGGGAGCGGTAGTGCAGCGAGCACGCTGCACTATGAACCCGGTTACCCGAGTTTGATTCCCGCTCTCGGCCACCAACACTGGTGACGATTATCTGAACTGGTCCCGGGTCTCCCCTAGGTCGACACAGCCTTAAATGAGTACCTGGTGCGGTGTGTAAAACATCGCCACCAGGGAGACAAAGGCGACCAGGCTTGGTTCTGGCCACCCACTCCCTCGTGTGCCGTGCCGGTCTCCATAGACGTTCGCTAACAACACTTTTCCCCAAAAGTCTGTTGAGGCTATACGGGGGATCTTTGTCTTTGTTGGTGTGTCAGGTGTGCAGTAGGGTACATGGAGGTCATCAGGTCGCGAGAAGGACGCCAATCAGTGCAGGTGAGTTTCGACCCACGTGTTTTGTTCAGATGCTTCACACTTTGCCTTACATTAGGCTAATCCAGCTACAGTATTGTAGGGCGACTGTGGGCATGCAACCTAAACTGTGCACCTTTTAGTAGACCCATAGAGACGAATAGAGCCTCGTAAAGTTGTAGAGACGTCTAGAGAGAGAGAGATACATTCAAGCCAAGCCACAGTTGTGTGGTTGTTGCCATGCAACCCAAACCCTGCACCACGTAAGTCAACCGCTGCAGTCTGCGGTCCTTCAACGAAGGGGGAGGAGGAATAGCGAAAGTACACGAATGCTCTCCTGAAGCCCTCTCGTGGCGAAGCGTTTGGCTCCCGAAACATGCCGCCATCGTACGCGAGAATGGAACTGCAGGCAAGATCTCCCGACGGACATCGTGCGCAGGATATCCCGACGGACATCACCGAGAGGCACGCGGCGGTTTGGATGCGTCTGCAGCGCGCCTTTTAGTTTTAACTCGTTTTTTTTGCGAAGGCCAGAGGGGTGATCTGAGACGTCGCGAGGTCCAAACGCAAGACCGCAGGGAGACTGAGACGCTGTAAAAACAGAAGCGGCGCGCCACTCGCACATTTCGGCCTGATTTACGTGACCTCTGACCCACTCACCCGCAATGCACCGTTGTCAAGGCAGATCTTGGAAGCTCGCACGGGGGTTAAGCTCGCATAGTGGCTGTAAGGGGCGTGAACCGTAGACAAGCGGGGTTCTCTTCGGACTCTGGGGCCACGTGGTTGTCAGCAGAGTTCAGTGCAGCAACATTGATTGCTGTATAATACTTTCACTTCTATCCTGTACGTGTGTATGTACGTTGAACTTCTTTCGCACTGTACGTAGCCAACCGCGCTAATCGGAGGTGCTGGGGAAGGACAACAAACTGAACACTAAAAAACTGTTCTAAACCAATTAGTTTTCAATGTAGATTTAAGAGTCCACAGCTCCCAGTGGCTTCCTATAATCGGAAGGAAGAGTATGCCTCCTGTCTTCACAAACTCGCAATGACCAGGCTTGGTGAAGTATGGTCAAATAACCCTGACGGCTAGCGTAGTGTAGGGAGGCCCTCATCCTGCAGTGGGTTGAAAAGGAAGAGATTTATGCGCACGTTCGTGCACGTGTACTGCAGCGGAGGTATTTGTAAACTAAAACAAAAACTATATTTTATTTTACCAGGTAAGGCCCACTGAGCTATGTAGCTCTTTTTCAAAAGCGATCTGGCTGTCACGAATGATAGCCCAATGAAGTGGCTTATCGCGTGGAATTTTAAAGCAGCCGAATACTCTTTGAACGCATGTTCCTAAATGTGGAGGGGGATTATTAAAGCCAGAGGACCCAGAGAAAAATTCACGCAACCACGGGAAAAGGCATGCAAACTCCAAATATACAGGCGTCAGGGTCGGGATCGAACCCACGATCTCCTGTATATCACGCAAGGTAGTTAACATGTCTCCACCGTGGTGCCCTATTTGTATTTTTGGGGCTGCACCTTTCCCTGGAGCTTCCCTCCTGTTCTCTCTTTTGTCAGCAAATGCGACCCAAGAGCATGGACACTCTCGACAAACAAAGGCAGCACCCAAGAACGGCTGGCACCAGTGGGCCATCGAACCTGCAGGTCGACAAAAACGGTCGTGGATCCTCCCGCCCATTAAAGTGAACCACGTGATCGAGAACGACCGCGGCCCGTTCCCGAAGGTCTTCATGATGGTGAGAGACCTCCTTCGCCTCGCTTCGTGATTCAGCTCGGGTCCTCTCAATCGGCACGGTGGTGTTGCTCAGTGATGTGCAGGTCGTGCAACTCGACCTGGGCCCCACGGGGGTGGAGAGGCCCAGGCTCGAGGCCTACGAAGAGGTGGGGGGAAATTGGACAGGGAACGCCATAAAATGTACAGTAGACTCCCGATTATCTGGGCTACTGACGGGGAGGGCGGTCGCGGATAATTCGAAATCGTGGATCATCCAAAAATACAAATTTCCCGCAGACCGATCAGTGCGTGCGCTCAGTGATAACTTTCCTGCTCCTGCGCAGAAGACTCAGCCCACTAGGTGGATAGCAGAGCCACGCCAATCAGCATCAGTCAAACTCCGCCCAATGTTGAAGGGATATTGCAACTACTGTACTGTAGATCACATGGATTTCGGATGAACCGGGGCACATATTTGCACGGTTTAAGCACGTGAATTGTAATAAACACTTCCAAGAATAACAATCTATAATTGTTTTTAGATTGATCCATTTGGGCTTTAGGGAAAATCCACGAGTTATACATTTTTCGTCAAAATCTCAGGTGCGCGGTTAATCCGCGAATCGGATAAACTGCACGCGGATAATTGAGAGTCTTCTAATTGAGAGATGGAGTCTGTTTTCCTAGAATGCGGTAGTCATGTTCCTGATGAACACCACGTGATGGAAAAATCACGTTATAATGAAATAATATATATATAATAGAGGGTAAAGCTCCGTCCACGATAACACGTGAGATGCGTACGCAGGCTGATCAGAGACTGAGGCGCTTGGGTAGCATCTAGAAGCAGCATCCAGCAGCATCCCGCCCTTTGTGATGCTACGCCGAAGCAGCCGTGCGACCGCTCATTCCGACTCGCGCGACGTAGTTCCGTTCACTCAATCGCGTTAATATCCAGTAATTACAACTAGCATCATCAGGCGTACAGCCAGATGTGTGGCTGTCCTGATGATGCTGGTTGTAATTACTGGTGCAACGTCTTACTCGAATTGTAAACGTTGTGGTTTTACTCTCCAACACACCGGTGTGCTGTACTAGTAACGAATTGGCACGTTCTGTTTACGTGACAAACCTTACTAAATTGGCTGTGTCAGGTGGTGGCGGGTTTAACGACACATTTATATTTAAGCAATCTAACCTAAAAAAACCTATATTATGGGCGTTAAATCGAATTCGCATCCGTGTTATAAAAAAATGTGTTCCCGCGTTATATCCAATTTGTTTATTATATAATTCCTTACACCACGACCTATGTCAATCATGTTATGCCACTGATACGTGGCAGCTCAATTGATGCTCCGCGTGATTTATTTCAGTGTCACGTGGTCTCTTCAGGAGTTACCGGAGATGCTCACGGCTTCTTTGTCAGGCTTTCCTACCAGCAGTGGATTTATCGTGGTCGACGACGATGATGATAATAATATAATGCTCTGCACCTCCTCTTAAGCATGTGTGAATGCATGCGTGCTGAACTTCTTTCGCACCGTACGTAGCCAACCGTGCTAATCGGAGGTGCGGGGGAAGGACAACAAGCTATAATTCTATAGCTGGGCATGGCTCACTAATGGGTACTCTGAAGGGGACCCTACTGCTGCTGAGCACCCTGCTGCGGATTGGCAAAATCCTTCAACGGTGCTTAACGGCCGGAAAATTACGAAGAGTCTGCCGATAAATTGCACTTGTATTTGAAACTCACGTTTGTGTATGGTCTTCACGTCTACCCATGTGTGCGTAGCTCAGCGCTGGGGAGACACAAGCGCCGGGTTATGGTGCTGGCCCGCAAAGGCCTGTCCCGCGCCGCGCCGGCCTTAACGGGTGCTCAGCCAACAGGACTTGTCCCGACTGAATCTCAAATGCTATGCGGGGGATGTTTGTGCGGCTCACGATGGGCGACTGACAGATCAGGTCGGACAAAGAGTCGAGCGTGAATTCGATGGTGTACAGCCTGCGGGGGCCCGGGGCTGACCAACCGCCCGTCGGGGTCTTCAACATCGACCCCATCACCGGCAAAATCAACATCATGTTCGTCCTGGACCGAGAGAAGATTTCAAGCTACGCGGTATATCCCCTCCCACCCGCCGCTTGCCTTGTACGCGCATGGTTCACTCTTAATTGCCCACGGGCGGATTTTTCCGGTCCGCAGAACATAACGGTGCTCGCACCCGCGCTGCTGGCGATACGGATGGCCAATTTGCAAACCGGTGCTTGCGCGCAACCTTGTGCCGCGCAGGGACAGCTGCCACTGGGGGATCCCCTTGGGTAAACTGCAGAAAGGTGCTGGGATGGTTGGTATGAGATGTGATGTTAAGTTGCCGAGGCATTTATAAGCATCCTGTGAATGCGAAGCCTTAAAAATGAAGATAAAAAAATGTATCCACGTGCGCTAGCTGAATTATTTTATGAGGTCACGCTCATTACACGCAAAGTGCTTGCCACAAAACGAACCACCAGTACCTCGCTGATCTCGTTAAGGAGCATAAACCATCACCGCGCGAACCCCGGTGGGCATCCTCGCAGCAGCAGCAGCAGCAGCAGCAGCAGATGTTGGCGAACCATCGAACAAAGACGGTGGTCACGGCGTCGCGCGGATCTCTCGTCTCGTCTGACCCCGTTGTCTTTTCTTTCTTTTCTGGCGACGCAGCTCAAGGGCTTCGCGAAGGACGAGCGCGGGAATCTGCTGGAGCCCGAGCTGGACCTCCCCATCAACGTGCTGGACGAGAACGACAACGCCCCGGAGTTCACGCAGATGCGATACGCGGGCAACGTGTCGGAGAAGAGCCGCGCAGGTCTGCCCCACGCACCGCGATGCTCGCGCAGAGCAGTCCGTCCGCGTCGTATTTCGGGTTACCACGTGACACCAATTGTCGTAATGTTACAGTCGTGGCGATGTCAATTAAGGCCCCCACTGAGCTATGGCTGTCACGAGCGATAGCCCAATGAAGTGGCTCATCGCGTGGAATTTTAAAGCAGCCAAATACTCTTTAAACGCGTGTTCCTAAATGTGGAGGGGGGAAAAAAGCCTGAGGACCCGGAGAAAAACACCACGCAACCACGGGAAGAGAGAGACACGCAAACTCCAAATATACAGCAGCAGCAGCAGCAGGCGTCAGGGTCTGGATCGAACCCACGACCTCCTGCATACCAGGCGAGGTAGTAAATATCTCCTAGCCACCGTGATGATGATGAGAAAGAGAGACACGCAAACTCCAAATACACAGCAGCAGCAGCAGGCGTCAGGGTCTGGATCGAACCCACGACCTCCTGCATACCAGGCAAGGTAGTAAACATCTCCTAGCCACCGTTTATAATTGTATTTCACGTTACTATTTTGTGTTTTGCCCCAACAATATCAACTGTTTTACAATGGTTAGAGCGCAACACTGGAGCACGATAATCAATCCTCGAGGTAACTTGGTAGTTAGGGCCAGAGCGTCAATTTGTGTGTCAATACCAGTTATGGGCCAAATTTAAAGAAACAATTGTATTTGGTAAAGGGAAGGAAGTCAGTTTACAAATTACGGCAAAATGATAACAATCCTGGGCCCCCATGAAATAAAACCCGGCTGATGTGCACGATGCAATCCCGTGTGGATTGTGAGTTGTGCGTGCGCACTTATGCGTGATGATGCATGATCCCAAGTGTGTGCGCGATGATGTCTGGCGCTCGATGCGCGATGATGCGTGGCGCGCGATCCACACGCGTGCGATTGCGGGACGCAGGGAGCCCGGTCCTGAAGGTGGAGGCCACGGACGCGGACGACCCCCAGACCAACCACGTGCAGGTGGTGTTCAGCATCATCGCGCAGCAGCCGCCACTGCCGTCGACGCGCATGTTCACCATCGACCGCTCGAGCGGCCTCATCAGCACGGGCGCGACTCGCTTCGACGCAGAGGTGAGGATCCGTCCGCTGACGCTCGACCCGGGCCGCGGCCACCAGCCCCGGAGGTCAGACCGCTGGGGCGAACGGACGCAGGGCGGCGGCGGCGGCGTCTCCAATGACCCTCTCAAGGGAACGTTGACTCTTGACGCCTGCTGTATATTTGGAGTTTGCGTGTCTCTCTCGCTCTCTCTCCCTCCTCGTGGTGGCGTGGATTTTTCTCCTGGTCCTCCGGTTGTCCCCTCCACATTCATAAATGTGTTTTGCTGCTGTCAATTTCCACGCGATAAGCCACATCATTTGTGATAGCCAGGTCGCTTCTATAAAAGAGCTACGTAGCTCAGTGGGGCCTTACCTGGTGAAGTTAAGAATAGTAATTGCGCTTACGCAAAGTGCGTATTTGTGCGACGCAAATCGTCAGTCCACGACCGTCGCACGAGCATTTATAATCGAAGGCATTCTTACAGCGCAGGGGCTAGGAGGGAGCTGTCTTTCACAGACGGGATATCTCTCTGGCACCTCTTCTACCCTTTCTGGCAATAAAACCACGTGTCAAGATGTTCAAACACCAAATATATAACATTTAAGGAGGAATCGGGTACTGCGTTGACCACACATACTTGCGGGGAACATGCAAACAAACATGCTCTGACGTTATATGCATCGTCTTTGAAACCGTCTCTGGTGTAGGCCAATCAGCTTAAAAGACAATACAAATATATTGTCTCTGAAACTGTGCAAGGAAAATCCGTTATCGTACTGTACTTCTACGCCCCCCCCCAACATGGTACTCTCAAGGCCTCTATCCAGCAGTCGGTAGACACAATGGCTGCACGTTCCGCGCGCCGTATTCCGCCGGCATTCGCAGCGTCGAGTTGTGCTCCGCTGTTGCGACGGGACGCAGGCTGTGAAGTTCTACACTCTGCTGATCCGCGCCAGTGACTGCAACGGAGCCGACTACAGCCTCTCGTCCACCGGCACGGTCGTCATCCAAGTGCAGGACGTCAACGACAACGCGCCGGTGTACTCCCAGCAGAACGTGAGCGGCCGCCCTCGACGCTCCCCCCCCCCACCCGCACCCCTCCCCCACACACCCCCCCCCCTCCCCTCCCAACCGCCCCCAACCCGACGGTGCCGGGCTCGCGAAGCCCTCGGACGTCGAGGGAGAGCGACGCCGTGGAGCGCCGCGTATCGGGCGGTCGCGTCCGGGCGGTCCTATTGGCTGAAGCGATCGGCCGACGGTTCGGGAAGATCGTGAGATGCCAGCCCTTTCCCCGTTCACGATGGAGTGCGTGCGTGCGTGCGTGCGCGCGTCAGTCATCGTTGTTTTTCTTCCGATTCCGTACCGACGGCGTGCGCTCACACGCCGTGAAAGCGGCCACCAGGACGAAAAACCAAAAAACGCGATAACTTTATCGGCACCGAGGTTCCCGCGGGGCCACGCGGCACAGTTTTTGCGCCAGCCGCGGCGCTCTTTTAACGGCAACGGTCGCTACCGGTCGCTACGCCTCTCTCAATGAAATTTGACGCCGCCCGCAGCTCATTTGCACGGTGCTGGAGAACGTGGTGGGCGAGTCGGTGCTGGCGCTGAAGGCGGAGGACGGCGACACGCCGCACACGCCGGCGTGGCGCGTTCGCTACCGCATCGTCGCCGGGCAGCACAGCGACAGCTTCCACATCGCGACCGACTACGTCACCAACGAGGGCATCCTCACCGTCAGCAAGGTGCCGCAAGCAGCAGCCCCCCACCACCGGGGGGGGGGGGGGGGGGTGGGGAGGGAGGGATGTCGACACGATCAAACGCATGTCACCGTTGTAATTAATGCGTTACCTAGCATGTTCGCCCCCGTTGGCAGGATTCAGAGAGCGTGGAGACGTCCCGACCTACAAGCGTCGCAAACGCAGCGGTGTGACATCGACCGCGATGACCACCCCCCCCCCCCTGACCTTTCGCTTCACACTGCGCCGTGGGTTAATACAGGGGGCTCGTCGACTTACGAACGAGTTAGGTTCCAGAGGTCTCTGTCCTTAAGTCGATTTGTTCGCAAGTCCCAACTTTACTCCTGTCGATTCCAGACTTGTTGTACATGGGCATGTACACTAAACACGGAGGAATGGCTTTAAAAGTTGTATGATCTCCTGTAGATGCCACTGGCTCTTCACGTTCTGCAGATGTAGAGATGCCACCACCGCCATTCTATTGCTCGGCGGTTGAACTTACGACTCTCGGTCCGAACAGGCAACTGGACATAACGGACCGGGTTTGTTCGTATCTCTGAAAGTTCGTAAGTCGAGTGTTCGTAAGCAGAGGGTTCCATGTAGCCAAGAGGGCTCCGTGAGCGTCGTGAGCGGTGCCGATCACGCGATCGACGCACCCACCCCGCGCGGCCGTGTCTCCCGCACCAGGCGCTGGACTACGAGTCCACGAAGCAGGTGCTGCTGGTGGTGAGAGTGGAGAACGAGGAGCCGCTGTGGGGCGTGCAGCCCGGCCCGGCCTCCACCGCCACCGTCACCGTGACGGTGCGCGACCAGAACGAGCCGCCCGAGTTCTCTCCCGACGAAATCGAGGCCGCCGTCACCGAGGAGCAGCCACCGGGCGTGACCCTCGGCGTGTTCACCGCCCGCGACCCGGACGTGGGCCAGCACCAGCAGATACGGTACTGCGAGCTCACGAGCACGTGCTGGTGTCACAAACCCGATGCCGAGCTCTCTGAAGGCAGGGAAGTACACACGTACGTACGTACGTACTGTGTGTGTGTAGAACTTTTTGGGAGCCGTACGCAGCCGACCGTGCTAGTTGGAGGTGCGGGGGAAGGACCACAAACAACACAAAATGCAGTTCTAAGGGAATGACTTGTCAATGTAGTATAGTGGTGTATTGTGTATGGTAGTGCAGTTTATAGTATAGTGGTGTGGTGTATAGTAGTGCAGTGTATAGTGTAGTGTATAGCAGTGTAGTGTATAGTATCGTGTATAGTCGTGTAGTGTGTGTATGTTGAACTTCTTTCGCAGCGTACGAAGGACAGCGAACTAAACACAACAACAACAACAAGCAGTTCTTAACAACTGAGGAGTGGAGTAGCTATCGAGTGTGCAGGCGGTGCAACTGCTTGGGGGCCCACGGAGCAGCGGGGCTCAGGTGCCAGGGGACTACTAAAGGGGGGGAAAGCGCTCCCATTGAATTCCCTGCACGAGGATTCATGCCAACCACACTCCGCTACTAAAGGCACGGTTGGTGGATCACACGTTGGTCGTCGTGTGTGAAGTTGCCGTGGTATACAGGAGGTCGTGGGCTCGATCCCGACACCTGCGTGTCTCTCTCTCTATCTCTCTCTCTGTGGTCACGTGCATTTTTCCCCGGGTCCTCCGGTTTTTCCACATTTAGAACCAACATCACCACGCGTTTAGAGTGTTTGGCTGCTGCTATGAATTTCCACGTGGTAAGCCGCCAACTTGTTGAGCTGACATTCGTGACGGCCAGGTCGCTTCTGGAGAAGCGCTCTACAGCTCAGTGGGGCTTTACTTGGTAAAATCAAAACCATCTTGATTTGAAGCTTTCGTGACTGCAGGAATCCATACTCTTTGGTTCTTTCGGTAAAGTCACCGAAAGAATGTACCAAAAATCGAAATAGTTTTTTTTTTTACTTTTACAGCAAACGGCGGGTGTGTTGCAGACCCGTCTTTTGCAGATTTCTCAGCGTTGTCTCGACGCGCGCGTACATTCTTCTCCGTGCGTTTTGTTCACTAACCTACTCCCGCCGGTACGGCGAGGCATGGTTCATTAAACCCCATAACATAGCCAAGCACCAAAAATGCATTCATCCAGCAGTTCAGGAGCAGAATATGCGTTTATTCTGCAGGAGGATTCCCATGAGCACTTTTTCACAGATGTCCAGTCGGGGCACGGGGGTGAGAACGTTACAACAACGATAGGAGTGCAAAGTACAAGAAAGGCAAACAGTTCACCCAGACACACACTAATAAAACTACACCATCCCCCTGCCAATGGCTGCGAGGCACATACAGTACTTACTCCAGCACCTTGGTAATGCGGGCCACGGGGAACATTTATTTGCGCTCACCTAATCTCTCCTTTGGATCTGTCCAGGAGAGATTAGGTGAACTAAGCCCGAGATACCTGTAGAACTTAACATCACCTGTCCATTTCGTACGATTTGACTCGTGTCACAGCCCAAGCGGGGGAGGGGGGGGGGTGGAGCAGTGGTGCAGTGGTTAGCGCACTGCACTGCACTGCAAAACCTGGCGACCTAAGTTCAATTCCAGGCCGCCGCTTGGCATTATTTTTTTTTTCTCATCAAGGAACATCAACCGCCATCGCGCAAACTCCGGCATCCTCGCAGCAGCAGCGGCTTTTGGCTCGGCCATCGAACAGAGACGGTCGCCACATCGCGTGGCGTTTTCGGATGCGCTTCTGCGGCCATCTGGAACGCTCTTCCTTCCGATATTAAGGGAGCCACTGAAGCCACGCACTTTTAATTAATCTAGATTGACGAACTCATTTCTTTAGAACTGCTTTTTGTGTCTACTTTGTTGTCCTACCCCCCGCACCTCCGATGGGCACGGTTGGCTACGTACGATGCGAAAGAAGTTCAACATACACACATACTTAGCACGGTTGGCTACGCACAGAGCGAAAGAAGTTCATTAAATTGCGAGCAATGTCTGAACAGCTGCCGGACCCCCCTCCCCATCACCGACCCGCACTGCCCTTTACGGTGAAGTATGGTCAAAAAACCCCCATGACCGAGAACAGCGCCTGATGCCCTTTTACTCGTCGGTAGATTGACAAAGGACCGAAATGATCATCGTCATCATTGCCACGTGGGATTTATGTTGGCACTACTTGTTACTGCCCGCACCTCCGATCAACGCGGTTGGATTACCTACGGTGCGACAGAAGTTCAGCGGACGCACGTGCCTACTCCTGGGGCACATGCTCAAGGTTTAACGGGGCTCGAAACGAATAAACAGTCGGCACCGCTGATAGCCCAGGTTCGCATCCGGGTTGTCAAGTCCTGTGACTTGATAGTCTCAAACTGGTCACCAATAACTCCACGAAAATTCCATCAAAATAATTCAACACGTAGTCGGCTTTCGCGACCAATATCATCCACATTAGAGGTTTTTTTTGGGTTAGATCGCGTAAATATATAAACGTGTCGATAAACCCGCCACCACCCGACACAGCCAACTAGTAAGGTTTGTCACGTAAACAGAACGTGGCCAATTCGTCACTAGTACAGCACACCGGTGTGTTGGAGAGCCAAGCCACAACATTTACAATCGGAGTACGACGTTTCACCAGTAATTACAACCGGCTTCATCAGGCGATAGCCAGATTTGTGGAGAAGTCCATCGGGTGGTGGCGGGCTTAACGACACATTTATATATGTACGCGATCTAACCCCCCAAAAAAAACCTCTATTATAAAAATGTTTTAACTTGGTTGTTCACTTAATTTGGCCAAACCGAAGAGGCCAGACAATAAAAAATGAAAGCGCTCCGTTTCATTGACGGCCAAAGGAACACAACCTTTGGAAGGTCATGCACTAAGAGGCACGCGGCCGTGTCACGGGCAACGCCGAGAAGAGGCTGCGGCGGTCGGGTTACAGCGGTGCGCTCTGACCACGACGAAAGGTGGTGCGCTTCTCTCTGCGGGAGTCCCGGTCGTGAGTTTCTTCTGCCCGCGACGTGAAGCCGACATCACGTCAAAGTCGTATTCACGTAAGACCGGGGAAGGAAAAAAAGAGTTCTATTTAAAATGACGTCTCGCCGCTTCCACCCTCTCACCCCCACCCCCCACCCCCCACCCCCCCCCCTCCCCCGCCAGGTACAAAATGGGCGACGACCCGTCCGGGTGGCTCTCCGTCAACCCCACGACGGGGGAGTTGCGAACGCGAGCGAGACTGGACCGCGAAGCGAGCGGCCTCTACAACGGCACCTACACCGCCACGATCCTGGCCTTCGACAACGGTACCCGCCGGCCGGCGTCGCCGCCGCCGTCCCGCCGTGACTCCTCGCGTGATTTCCTGCCGCCGTCAAAAAGCGACGGTGTTTGTTTACGCGCGCCCGAGCGCGTGCGTGCTTACGTACGTTTGGACGTTAGATGTGGTGTGCGGAGCGGTGGTGCGGCGGTTAGCGCTACGCTGCGCCAACGAACCCGGCCACCCGAGTTCGATTCCCGAAGTGACGATTATCTGAACAGGTTCCCGGGCCTCTCCTAGGTCAACTCGGCCTCAAATGAGTGCCTGGTGCGGTGTGTAAACATCGCCACTCGGGAGACAATGGTGGCCGGGCGTGGTGCTGGCCACCCAACCCCTTGTGTGCCGTGCCGCGGCCTTCATAGGTGCTGCTCGCTAACAGCACTTGGCCAAACAGTCAGTTAAGGCTACACGGGGGATCTTTGTCTTTAGGTGAGCTGCAGCGCGCTTTGACGTGATCCCGGCAACATGAGTTTGATTCACAACCACGACTGACATCAGTGCCGATCCATCGCCGAAACTGGTCATGGGCCTCCAGTACTGGTTCAGCTTTGCTCACACACACACGCGCGCACACACACACGCACACACATCTTACTTCGTCTAGTCTTGTGATTACGTGTATGGTATATGTATGAGGATAGCCATGTTATATTCACTGCTGGATGAAGGCCTTTTCATGCCGTTGCCATCACTCACGGCCTTATGATGCCTGGTCCAGCTCGCTCTTGCACGTGAGGGCGAGATGTTTACTCCCTTGCCCGGTACGCAGGAGGTCATGGGTTCAATCCCAATCCCGACACCTGTATATTTGGAGTTTGCGTGTCTCTCTCCCATTGGTCACGTGGATTGTTATCCGGTTCCTCCAGTTTTTCCCTCCACATTTAGAATCAACATCACACGTTCAGAGTGTTTGGCTGCGATTAATTTCCACACGCTGACAAGCCGCCGCTTTGTTGAGCGATCGTTTGTGATGCCGGGTCGCTCCTGACAGAGAGCTACATAGCTCAGTGGGCATTAGCTGGTAAACATTTCTCTTTTTAAATAGTCAAATTTTCCAAAAGCTGTCCATCGTGCCCTCGCGAGCCTCTTCATGTCATGAATTTAGCCCAAACTGTATTTAATAATTGCCCTGTAGATATGCGTGGGAGACTGCCACAGTGGTGTAATGGTTAGCACACTGGACGGCTCGATTTGATCTGTCGGCCCCACAGTTGAAACGTCAAGTTTCCTAAATCACCGCAGTCCATCGATTGACAGTCCACAAGTGGCAGAGGTCGAGTGTGGGAAATTCCCAGCTCATTTCCTGACGACTGCTTTTTTTACGTTAACTTTGTTGTCCTTCCCCCCGCCCCCGCACCTCCGATGAGCACGGTTCGCTACGTAGGGTGCGAAAGAAGTTCAACACAGCGTCCATATTCCCAGCGTGGTAGAGTCAACCAAATATTCCATCGATGGGGGAGACTCTCTAGAGGCTATGTAGGTACTCCTCTGCTTATGAATGAGTTAGGTTCAGAGAGGCCTATTCACAAGTCGTAACACCTTTACTCCTGTCGATTCAAAACGTGTTGTACGGCGTGTACAATGAACACTGGGAACGGCTCTTCTTGCTACCACCCTCAACACTTTCACCACTCTTGCGCGTTTCAGACATGATGGAGGTTGATAATGTCCGTGAAAAGCACACAGAGAACGTCGTAGTGACCTGCACAGCGACAACACAACAACGACAACAACAACAGACAATGGCGGCGGCCCAGGCAGAAATGCTGGGAATGCTGGGTAATGACACTGCGCGGCGGTTGAACTCACGATTCTCGGTCCAAACTGGCAACTGGACATACGGACCAGGTTTGTTCGTATCTCTGAAAGTTCATAAGTCGGATGCACGTAAGTGGAGCAGTCCCTGTATCTAGTGGGGGCCCCTTCTGCCATCAGTGGTGTAAGCGAGCGGTTGCAGGGCTGCACCCAGATACTGTTATCTGGCCATGCGCGTACCCTCCATCGTGTTCGACCCGCGTGACGCTCGTGTTCCCCGTAGGCGTTCCCCCGCAGACGGGGACGGTCACCATCCTCCTGCGGGTCACGGACGTCAACGACCACCCCCCCCGGGTGAAGCTGCCCTACAGCCACAGGGTGTGCGAGGACCTCGCGTGGCAGGGCATCAACGTGACGGTGCTGGATGAAGACGAGGCGCCCAACGCCGGGCCCTTCACCTTCTCCCTGCCCGAGGAGCCGCCTGAGATACGCAACAATTGGAATATCCTCTACCGCACAGGTAGGAAACGATCTGAGCCTTTCAGTCGTTCGCCCCGACGCCCTCTCACCGCGAGTCGCTTGGCTGTGTCGTCGCCCTCCGAAATGTCAGCAATTCATCCGTGTTGTTTGCTTGACAAGCCCTGCAATCTGCTGGGCGGTCCGCTGAACCAAATCCTGCTGGAAAGCCATTGGTCTAAAACAGGGGTGGGGAACGTCCGGCCCGCGGGCCGTATGAGGCCCACGAAATCATTTGGGTCTGGCCCTGCCAAGGCAACTGCAGGCAGGACTCGAAATTCAATAAATCGAGGAGCAAACCTGGAAAAGCAGTTGCGAGTAGCAACAACATCATCAATACCAGCTAACATCACCACACGCCTCACCAAAGAGAAGCAGTTCCAGGCCATCACATTAGGGGTGAGTTAATTAAATGTTTAACCAAATATAACGGGCAAATTTTTAAGTTGATAATTTTGTATGGCCCACGAATGATGTTATATAAATATCCAAATGGCCCTTGGCAGAAAAAAGGTTCCCCACCCCTGGTTTAAAAGATCCAAAGAACTGATGAGCCTCCACATTATTTGATTTTAACGTGGGGAAAACGGGCCTTTGTTGTTCATCGACTGACCTCTCGCCTACAATGCACCCACCGCAAATGCATATGAATAGATGTTTGCTATATCACCAATTAAAAAAAAAAGTTCTTTTACCAAGTTGATCCAAATGGAATGCCTTGGGACGAAATATCCATTTCCGTCCCTGAAAGAGCGGTGTAGCCCTTTGTGTTAAAGAGGGGCCCGCACAAGTGGTGATAACAGAGCTACCTCTGAGATCCATTCAGGTGGCCCTCTGTTCCGCAAGGCGGGGGCAACGCACCCTGGCACTTAAGAGTCATGTTCATCACGTGACAGCGATGTTTTTAATTCTCAGTGCTGGAAACTGTCCAAGGGAAATGCAAAATCTATTTTTGCGTGGGTTATTTTTGTTTGTGTCCAGTCACTTGTGACCGGGCTGAGACACACAAACTCGCTACACTTGAGAGATCCCGTTTTTTTAAGAATAAGTGTTTGCATCTTTCGGGTGCTTAAATTCCTCGTCGGCATGTCAAAGTGCCTCCCGACATCACAGAGAAGCAACGCGGGATGCAAATCGAATTTAGGTCGTAAGCGACTGAACGCAGCGCCTTCGGCACACGTAGACAACGTGTCAATGGAGCGCACTGCAAGCATGGGGCCGGCCGACGCCTGGGATGTTCCAGCGGTGGCGGCTCCGCGCCCTGACCCTCTGATCCACGGGGCGGCCAACCTCGTCACGTTGACCGCGGTCATTGCCACGTGCGCTCGTCCGTTCGTTCGTGCCGCACAGGGGAGGTGCTGGTGTTGGCTCCGCACTCGGACCGCGTCCAGCCCGGACACTACAGCGTCCCCGTGCTGCTCGCGGACAAGTCGGGCCTGCGGTCCGAGCAGATCGTCGAGGTCACGATTTGCTACTGCGACAACAAACTCACGTGCCCCGCGGCCCTGGGTGGCATCGGACTCAGCCTCGCGGCTCTGCTCATCATTATTTTCTGCCTCCTCATACTCCTGCTGCTCTTCCTAGGTACGGAATTCCGCGTCGGTCGTCGAAACCGGGGCTGTGTGCATTATACACCTCCGATGAGCACGGTTCGCCACGTACGGTGCGAAAGAAGTTCAACAGACGCGCACACATACGGTCGGTGTGGTGACGTCGGGATGATGCTGTGGGATTACGGTTTGCACACCGGACTTCTCACATCTGCCTGTCCGTGTCCACCCAGCATTACGAAATTACGGTTATTCGATCGGTGTGTTGCGTTGAGGTGGGATAAAGTGTGGGACACTCCCACCTCTTTCCAAGACGTTTGTCCAGTATGAACGAGTAGGCAAAAACACCCTCGAGTTAGAGGAGCTCTCTGTAGAGTTGGAGAGGGTCCCTCAAGTGGAGGAGCTTCGACCAGCAGTGGTGCACGCAGAGCAATTGCAGGGCCGCCAACGATGCGCCTCGTGCACCTTACGTGAGTGCGTGGGGCCCGTGACCAACCCGCACTGACTGGTGCGGTGGAGTATGGTCAAGTCATCCACGACATGGGGAGGGGGAGGGCCTTCGTCCAGCACAGGATTGACAAAAGGGCCGTAAATGGTAAATGACGAAGCTATGGGTCGATTACAATTGACGAAGCGATGCATTGTCCCGGGCCTCGTGGGTAGGCATTGTCTCCACGTGTAGTTCCCGTATGCCCCTTACCAGCGACGGCTTAACCCGGGCACAGGCACTGCGGAAACACTGCCCAGTGTATCTCTGGGACCAGTATCAAAGATTACGAAAAATAAGAATAGGTTTGACCATTTCTGGCAATAAAACAGGTGATAAGATCAGTTTAACACATAGGCTTTCGCGACCAATATTATTCATAATGAAGGTTTTTGGGTTAGATCGCATTATTTATAAATGTGTCCTTTGTAAAAGTGACACTTTTTTACTGTTTGGCCATGTCGGGTGGTGGAGGGTTACGACACATTTAGAAATAACGCGATCTAGCCCAAAAACCTTTATTATGAAGGTGATAAGATGTTCAATCAGCACATAGATACCTATTGCAAGGCATCAAGTCTGCATTAACCACACACAGTACTTGTGGAAAAAATGCAAACATGCTCTGATAATATTTGCATTGTCTTTGAAGCTGATTGGCCTACACCAGAGACAAACAGCCTTCTTCATAGCCTTGTATCACCACCAGTGTTCTACCCCAGCTATGAGTGTCTCCGATACGTGCATTGTCTTTGTACTGTTCGCCTTTTGGCGTTCTCTGGTCTCACACTGGTGAGACTAGGCCATAAAGATGGCCGTGTGTGGTTAATGCAGACTGCCCATTGCGTATTACGACACATCTCACAACTCCGCCACTCGTCTATCAGTACGGTAAAATATTAACATTTTTTAGGGAGTATCTTCTGATTTAAAGGCTAATGTCTTTTTTTCAGGCTTTCGTTATAAAGTTTATGGGAGGTGGAGCGGTGCGGCACTGTGGTTAGGACACTGCAACTGCAGCTATAAACCCCGGCCAACCTGAGTTAAATTCTGGGCCACTGTTGGTGATATCTGAAACCAGTGCAGGGCGGCTTCCTCCTTCACCGACCCACACTCTACGGTTCGGTCACACAGACGTCCGCGATCGACGCGGCACAGCGCGGAGGCCTTCATCCAGCAGTGGACTGACGGCAAAGGGCCCCACAGTTGACGGTTGACCTAAACACCTGCCTGGAGAAAGAGCGACGCTGAGTCGCTCCTCCGGCTGAATCGACTCTGAGAGCACTAAAGCAACGTCCGCCCCTTTCCGTGTGAAATCCTTGAACCCAGCCCGGTAGTGGCGGAGGAGGTGTGGGGAGGTGGTTTAGGGGGCCTGCCCCCCTCCCCCCTTCAATCATTTTTTGTTAGTCAAAGTCAAACAGATATTGCTTCCAAAATGAGTTCAGTTAAGCCACGGGTGTCGTAGTCTGTAGTCTGTCCTCGTACGTATGTCGATTTGTCTTAGGGGCCGTTCATAAATGACGTCACACACCTTGGGGGGGGGGGTCAGACATTTGTGACGATGTGTGACGAAGGGGGGGGGGGGGTTGAGAAATGTGACGTCACGTCAAAATGCGCAACTTTAAATAAATATGACAACACGTTCTACTAAATTAAACAGACTTTTTAATAAATGTTTTCTCCTACAACATCAGAGTGCAGCGCCAGATTAAATACGCACTACAATGACAATAGTTTAAAGCGATTTTAAGCATGTTTTATATATATTTTGGGGGGGTTGGGCAGAGTTTGTGATGTCATATTTGAGGGGGGGGGGTCTGACTTTTTGTGACGCTGTGTGACTAGGGGTGGGGGGGGGGGTCAAAAATCGTCCAAAATCGCATGACGTCATTTATGGACGGCCCCTTATTTTATCAGGTGAAGCCCCACAGAGCTATGTAGCGGTTTATAATCGCGTGGAAATTTAGAGCAGCAGTCAAATACTCTAAACGCGTATTGATGTTGATTCTACATTAACCTATTGGCGGTGAACCGGATGGTGCACAGTATACATTTTTGTTTCACAATTTTCACTATTAATGAATCAATTTCCCGCGATTCGCAACCCTGGTCAGAAAATCTTACGGGGCTGGTGGCTCGTCACAATCAGTTCTCGTGATGTTGAAGCAGTCGGAAGACGAATGTCTGTAAAAAAAGAAAAAATATATAATACCGTTTCTTTTTTTATGAGGACCGGTGTGTTATGCTGCATCGGTGTCCCGCCAATCATTTAAAATGTCTACGGAAGTTTCGCGCAACCACGGGGAGAGGGAGAGAGACACGCAGATTCCACATATACAGCAGGCGTCAGGATCGGGATCGAACCCACGACCTCCTGCCTCCCGGGCGAGGTAGTTAACATCTCCTAGCCACCTCGGCCAGCGGACGAACGCACGGTTAGGCAAAGGCAGATCGCACCGTCACGGGATTCCGTTTCAGCGTTTCACGTTTGCTGAAAGAGCGTTAACGTTCCGACTGCTGTCACTCGACGTTGTGTCTGCCCCGTCCCTTTGAACAAGGTCACAGGGACTGCCTTTGAAAACAGGTTAGTACAGCAGCTTTGACATATACAAAATAAATATCATTGACTTCACTGGGGTGGAATTTGAAACATTTTGAGAACCGGGTATTTTCGGTTTGTAATCGGTCCACGGATGGTCATCGTTTTGAAACAAATAAGAAATGGAAGGCAACGGAGCGTGATTTTTAACCCGAGTGATTTGTTACTGTTTTCAGTGGAATGGGAAAGTCGGTGGCGGGGGCGGTGGGCCTCGTTAAAACATCGCAACGTTGGGCAGCCAACGTTGGGCCGAGCGTTCCGACTCAACCTTCGCTGTGGTTTGACCTCGAATTCATAGAGAGCGCGAGGGCTGTCCCTGTGTTCTTTTGCGTGGCGTGTCAGAATGCACTGTCCTGTCTGTCAACGCGCTAAATAGTTGGGAGTGCAAGCGAGGTCTTGCGAAACTAAAGCAAACACAGAACCGTAAATGCGACTGCCAGTGTGGGCGTGCAACTTATTTGCACTGTTGGTTAGAAACTTTCTGCTTTGCCCCGTTTTATAGTGGCTAGACTCTGGCTTTATGGGTTGTAGTGAGTTCAGTTGGCGTACGTACGTACGTACGTGTGTTGAACTTTTTTCCAACCGGACGTAGGCTGTGACTTTTATAAGCGTGCCTCCATGTTTCAGTTCAGTTTTAGTATTTCCCTGTGAGCCAAGAAGCTCTTAAGTGCTTTCCCTAATAACTGAACTGAACTAAACACCAGACACCGTTTCCGTGACAGACGTGACACGTCAGCGGAGAATAAATGAATAAAAAAAGTATATGAATATAAAAATGCCCATTAAGGAATCAAAAAAGTGCAACACTCATTTTTTATCTCCAATAAAAATTAAAATATATATAAAATATATAAATGCGCCATCAATCAATGACGACATTGCACCGAGAAAAACCACAGCATCGTTAACAAAAAAGAGAGAGAGAGATTAGAGCAGACGAGGCTGAAAGCCGACAAAAGAGGTCACTAACGGGCAAAGCGATGTCCAAACGTCGCCGGGGTTATGTATATGGTGGCAGCAGCAGCAGCTCGGCAGGAGTTCGCTGGAAATCAGTGACTTAAAGTGGCCCCAGCGAAGGCAGTGAATGTCGATCTAATCTTGCGTGCACGTGTCGATCCACTCGCAGCGTGTACGATGGCTCTGACCCTCGGGAGGATGGTAGGATGTTGTCAGGACAAGGTGTGGCAAGAGTGCGTAGAGTCAGCAGCAGTGATCACAAGGCCATAGCTCGTAAGCATAAAACGCAATCAATGAATCGATGCATTGTTATATCTCGTTCTCCCTCTCTCTCTCTCGCCTTATGGATAGAGTCACCACCCCCTCCTCCCCCACAATAGCAATGTGGAATTTCCACCACTGAGCTCCTTCAAGTGGCAATTAGTCGAACTGTCAATTTGTCCAGGGTAATGGGTGAAGGAGGAGTGGTCCGGGTTAAACACAGAGACACACAATGCAAAGTGAATGTTAAATGGGAATGCAAAAACGCGTGTGTACTATTTACCTAAGTGCGTACTATTTACCTAAGTGTGTACTATTTACCTGTGTACTATTTACCTAAGTGTGTACTATTTACCTGTATGTGTACTATTTACCTGATTGTGTACTATTTACCTGTATGTGTACTATTTACCTGTATGTGTACTATTTACCTAAGTGTGTACTATTTACCTTTGTACTATTTACCTGTATGTGTACTATTTACATGATTGTGTTCTATTTACCTGTGTACTATTTACCTAAGTGTGTACTATTTACCTGTATGTGTACTATTTACCTAAGTGTGTACTATTTACCTGTATATGTACTATTTACCTAAGTGTGTACTATTTACCTGTATGTGTACTATTTACCTGATTGTGTACTATTTACCTGATAGTGTACTATTTACCTGATTGTGTACTATTTACCTGTATGTGTACTATTTACCTGATTGTGTACTATTTACCTGTATGTGTACTATTTACCTAAGTGTGTACTATTTACCTGTATATGTACTATTTACCTAAGTGTGTACTATTTACCTGATAGTGTACTATTTACCTGATTGTGTACTATTTACCTGATTGTGTACTATTTACCTACGTCGAACAGGGGGTTGAACAGGGGTGAAGACACGGGCTACATTGTGCGTCTGCTTTTACTGCTTTTGGTAGTAAAAGCCGGCACAACGAAGCTGTTCACTTCCAACGCCTTTGCAAGTTTGAAGTGGCCCACCGCGTCGCTGACCGTTGACAAGTGATGAGCAGACGAGAGTTAAACATTTGGTTTTATCTTTTTTTTTCACCGCAAGCACAGTGCAAGCGCAGTTTGATCTGCAACCCGGGGTAATCCAACCACACGGGTAGTTGAGAGTTGTCCTGTACGTACGGAGGGAAGTGCTGATTTAAGCAGGGAGGATGGTCTCAAGAGTTGGCTTTAAATCGGAAACGCTTCCGCCATCAATCGAGATACCTTGATGAAATTAGCAATGGCTGATTACATTTTGATTTAAAGCTTTCGTGACTGCAGGGATTCATATTATTGGTTCTTTCGGTAAAGTCACGTGGAAGGGAAACAATAAAATAAATTTGTTTTTATTCTTTTATATTTTCATTATTTTATTGTTTCCCTTTTACGTGACTTTACCGAAAGAACCAAGAAAATTATTGATTAGTTATGACCATCAGTGGCAGCCCCTCACTAGGGGCAGGTACGTACGTATGTATGTTGAACTTCTTTCACACCGTACGTTGCCAACCGGGCTAATCCGAGGTGCAGGGGAAGGACAACAAACTGAACACACAAAAAAAATCTGTTCTCAAGAAATTAGTTTGGAAATCTAGATGATTTAAACGTGCACAGCTCCAGTGGCTTCTCAATATCAGAAGGAAGAGCGTTCCAGACGGCCGCAGAAGCGCATCCAAAAGCGCGCGATGCAGTGACCGTCTTTGTTTGATGGCGAGCCGAAAGCCGCTGCCGCTGCGAGGATGACCGGAATTGTCGTGATGATTAATGGTTTACGTTCCCTGGGGCCAGACCCCACTCCGCCTGCCCTGCTACCCCAGCCCAGCAACCTTCTGTGTCCAACCAATAAATATTTAACAAAAACGTAACTTTTTTTTATTTTTACCAGGTAAGGCCCCACTGAACGACATAGCTCTTTTTCAGAAGCGACCTGGCTATCACAAACGACAGCTCAACGAAGTGGGCTTATCATCGCGTGGAAATTCATAGCGGATAAATACTCTGAGCGCGTGATGTTTGTTATTAATGCGGAGGGAACAAAACCGAGGACCCGGAGATAAATCCACGCGACCACAGAGAGAGAGAGACGCAAACTCCAAATATACAGCAGCAGCAGGCATCAGCGTTGGGATCGAACCCACGACCTCCTGTATACCAGGCGAGGTAGTTAACATCTCCTAGCCACCGCAGCGCCCCTGATATCGTGCCCCACCTATACATATAGTACCACACCTATGGATATATTTACCCACCGACCACTAATGACGACCATAAAGTGGTATTGTATATATGTGCAAGGCGTGCCCCAAAAGTAATGCCTCCCAATATATTTTTTGACAATATTATGCATTGAGCGAATGCAGAGTTTTAGTTATCATTTCACGGGAATGTCACTAACACACTAAGCTCTTGGTCAACACAAGTGTCTCCACCACCTTTTCGTCATGCACCTCTGCCAACAGTGGCAGATCCAAAGCGGAAGGGAGGGAGGGACGGGGTGTGGGCACAATGGGGGCCTTGTTTAGAGAGCTTGAAACGTCAAGAAACGGCGCCTCTTGGGAAGTTTCAAGATCCGCCTATGTGGAAACAGGGTCGGCATTCTGTCACGGTGAATTGATCCATCGGCGGCATCGCACGGTCGTCTGCGAACTTCATCCCGCGTCGCAGCGTCATTTTCTGAATGTTTGCCAAACGCTTTGGTCGTCCGTCAAAGCACAGGACTGAATGGATGAGAATGCGAGCGGGCGAGGTCTGGGTTGTACGGGGGGGTATAATCGGGTGCCGGGGCAGTCGACGCGACTTCAGTGTTTTCAGGGCCTTGCTTGTGGTCTGGTATCTCCGTAGTCCAACGCTGCCATGGCCTGGCTTTGTCAGGAGGGCCGCCACCATCTGACAAATGTCCACGGCATATCTAGAGATCAGCGTTCTTTACTGCAGCCTGCACCCCTTTGATTCTCGATCGTTACAAACATGGATAATAAATACACGGTGTTCGATGAAGCGAAGTAAGTTGTTACTGACGTGCCCGTGTTTAATTCGTGTTTTCGATTATTTACCTTCGAAAAAAAGCTGGCCCCATCTCGCACCTCCAGAAAGGGCATCTCGCACCCCCAGGCGGTGCGTGCAGCCCAGGCTAGGAACCACTGTCTTAAACGTTCTAATAAAAAATAAATACTTTTTTGATAACAAAACTAAAAAAATAAGCATTGCTCTTTCGGTCATCCGCAATAATAATTGAGGGGCATAGAGTGCTCTGGCGTAGTCGTCACACCGCCCCATCACACCGGCCTTGACAGGACGCGCTCACAGCAACTTGCCCCAAAGTGCTGTCCAAAGGCTACGCGAGAGATCCTTGTTTCTGGTCTGCCTTAACTCTCTCCGTCGCTTCTCCTCCAGCGATGCTGTGCTGCCTCTGGTGCTACCCACACGGCTGCTGCGGCTACGTGAGGTCAGGGGGCGCCCTGTACATTGTGCACGAGCAGGGGAACTCTGGGGGGGTTCAGGCCTACAACTACGAAGGCGGAGGGGAAGAGGATATGGTAAGATGCTCACTCGTGCGTCCATCTGTTTAGATGGATGTACGTAATCGTGCATGTTGAACTTCTTTCACACCGTACGTAGCCAGCCGTGCTAATCGGAGGTGCGGGGGAAGGGGCAGCAGACTAAACACACACACGAAATAATATAGGATACATTCGCGCCTTACCCCACTGAGCTATGTAGTAAAATAAAAAGAGAGATTGATATTTTAGGTTATTCTTCTTCCTCTTTCCATATGTCACTCGGTTTTTAGTTTGAGGAAGTGGAAAAGCGAAATTTCGGAGTTTTTTTCATCCCTTTCCATTTGTTACTTTTGGCGTAAAAGTCACCAGATGACAGAGAAACTTATTCTCACTCTGTTCGCATTCATTAATAATAATTGACACTTATAAAAGCGCGTTTCACCCAGAGGTCGCAAGGCACTGCGCAGAGCTAAAAGCAAGCAAGTAAATAACTCGCGCAATTCTGAAACCTAAAATAAGCAACGCAGGCTCACGATTGAACCACGGATACAAATACACCCCACACTCCCAAAACACGTAACAGCATTCACAAGGAGAAAAGGCCTTTAAGAAAAAAATGTCTTAAGGTGGTGATTTAAATATTTAGAGGTTGCTCAGGACCCCCCTCCGCCCATCTCCTCCTCTCTGTGCCCCCATAGTGTAACTCTGGGTAGTGACTGCAATGCGTTATCCAACTTCGTTGAGCAACCGGTAAATGTGGAGGGCCTTGTCTTTAGACGCGCGCCGCCCGGCTTAACTTTGCGTAGCATCATACATGTTGCTGTAGCCCACATAGTAAGGATATTAGCTGGACGGTCTGATTATTTCATTTAATCGATTACTCGAGAAAATAACATTAAAATATTAAAATTAAGAATCGACGTTTTCCCCTTCCTGGCAATAAAACAGGTGTTACTATGTTCAGACATCAAATAGATACCTTCATCAAGGAATCAAGTCTATATTAACGACCACACGTACATGCATACAAACACGTTCTGATTCTATAGGCATTGTCTTTGAAACTGATTGTCCTACACCAGAGACAGCCTTCTGCATGGCCTAGTCTCACCAGTGTCAGACCTTGAAACGCTAAAAGGTGAGCAGTACAAGGACAAGGCATTTATTATCAGAGCATATTTGCACGTTCACCACGAGTACGTGTGGTTACTGCAGACTCGATCCCTGTTTGGTATTTGAACATCTTAACGCCTCCTGTGTTATTGTCAGAAAGGGTAAAACCTCTTCTTATTTTTCAGAGCCCTGTAACTGTTTTCATAGGTAGATATGAAAACAGTCACAACTCTCCACTGTCTGGGGTACTGGGGTGGCCCCAGGGTTGGAAGGGGGAAACCAGAAACAGAGGTAATACAAAACATTGGGGCGATAAACACGCAATCGTTACTCTAGGTTCGTACAATTGCGGAGAATGTGCCAGTCTGTTTTTATTGCGTCATTAATTGGTTAGCTGCTTGCTGACGTTGATAAGTCACAAAAAATAATTTTTGATCCCATGAAATTGTTGTTCGGGGGGGGGGGGGGGGGGGGGAAATATACATTAACCGTTTAGTTTACGAACTTAGGCCGCACAAAAGTTTCCATCGAGATGCGCCAAATGTGACGACTATTCTACGATTGAAAACGAAAATGTTGAAATTGAGGACACCCCAAACAAAATATGAGGCCCACACGGAGAGTACAACACAAAGCGCTATTAAGCTGAGATTTATTTCACTAATATATTTCGATATAGAGACATCCAAATAGGAACGTTGTCTCACTCGCGCAGACAATTGGAGCCAAACGTGCCATCCTTTTTTCATATTGCAGAGCCGAGGTGAACAAAAGTTACGCATCTGGACGTTTTGTAGAACATTTCGGAACAGTGTGAATGGACATCCTGCAAATCCACCATCTGTGGGGTTACGAATCATCATCAATCATCGGCCACGCTCAAATCCATCGCGATGTCATCTCTCCATCTCCTTGGTATCTGAACAAGTTTTCAAATTCAGACCTCACGACAGCCCCACTTTATGGGGGGGAGGGGCAAGCGAGGGTGGGGCAGGCGGGGGGAGGGGAAGCGGGGGGGGGGGGCTTGTAACAGTTTTGCTCATCACCATCTCAGATGCACATTAACAAATTAACAAAGTAATAATCTCGAGCTCTAAAGCTCGCGGCCATCGCTGCAGTGAACGACGCCGTGTGGGACCCTGACACATTTCGCAGGGGATGAGGATGAACCTGCTGGCAATCGGCGCTCAGGGGAAGAACGGCTCGAGCTGGGCCGGCGGCAAGGACGCCGAAGGCGCCGCCTACACCAAGTCCACCACCCTGCGCGCCAGCTCGGCAGCGGAGTCCTCTCACGCCGCCGCCGCCGCCGCCGCCGCCGCCGCGGGAGAGACGGCCGCCGCTTCTCACGAGGTTAAAGAGTCCTTCACGGCGAGCTTCAGCCACACGACCTCCGGCGCGGCGCACGACAGCGCCGGCACGCGGGCGCACGGCGGACGGTCCGCCGGCTCGGCGGGCGACGCGGCGGTCGGCGGGAGCGACGCCTGGGCAGCGGCCGGCGGCGGCGGCGGCGGCGGCGTCGTCGTCAGCCACGTGGCGACGCATACGGAGGTGGGCAGCGCCAGCAGCAGCAGCAGCGGCGGCCGGGGCATCGCGATGGACTCGCGAGTGAACGGGGCGTTCCGCGCGCCGGCGGGCGGAGCGACAGGGGGCATCGTTCTGGAGACCGACGGCCGCGTCTACCTCGGGAGGACTTCGACCCTCGGCTACCCGAGGGCGAGCGGCTACGGCGGTCAAGCGATCGGCCGAGAGTCCGTCAGCGTGGGGAGGGGCATCACCCGCAGGGAAGTACCTCCACCCGCCGCCGTCGCAGGACCCGCCTGGCTGCAGCATCACACCCTTCCCAAGCTCCTGAGCACGAAGGCGACGGCGGACGTCAGGCAGTTCGTTGCGGAGGTGAGAGCACGCGTTGACTTTTATCTTGTCCGTCGTCCGTCAGCTTTGGGTGAACCCCGAGCCGGTCGCGTCACAATGACACACGCTGGGATTCAAGCGGACCTGCGTTACCCAATCCGAGTTCAATGTGATGTTTATGCAAACCTTGGGTGCGTTATCCAGATTCGTGGATGATGTTGTTACGGACTGCTGTATTGCTCTGCGACGCGTTTTAGGGTTGTACCGTAGGCTGTCACGGCGTGGTGTCTGATGAAGCTCTGAGCACTCGGAGGAAAACGGTGGACAATACGCACGTGGTACAACTCGAAATCGCATAAGAGAGCTGTGTTTTATAGTTGTTAATTTTATGAAAGCTTTCAGGATCCTTGAACCATATTGCGGTGACGAGATATTATCTTCCTCGCCTGGTACGCAGGAGGTCGTGGGTTCGATCCTGACCCTGACAATGCCCGTTTAATAGTTTGGAATTTGCGTGTTGCCCTCCACGTTAAGAAAACGTGCCTTTCGATTATTTTGCTGCTGCTATAAATTTCCACGTGGTGATGATGTCAGCCACATCGATGAGCTATCATGTGTGGCCAGGTCGCCTCTGAAAACAAGCTAATAGCTAGGCGGGCTTTACCCGGCGAAGTCAAACTTCAATGCGTCTGCTCAAAATGAGCTCGGGAGCGGCGCGCATCTATCCTGCCAACCCTGGGGGCAGTGGTGGAAAGTTTAAATACCCGTGGCAGGTGCCACTGACCCTCACCACGGATCACACAAGGGCGGGCTGCGTGCGGGCCCGAACCACAGCACTCCCCTACGCACCGCGCCACCCGTAGTCGGTGCTCAACTACGGGCACGTGGCCCTGTTGGCTGTAAGGCTTGACCCGGAGGGGATCTCTGTGTCTGTGTGTGCGTGTAGGCTCTGGAGTGGGCGGATAAAGACCCCGCAGTGCCCACGTTTGACGGGCTGCTCGTTTTTTGCCACGAGGGCGACCGCGAGGATGACCACTCTTTCAGCCCCTGCATCAGCACGGCCAACTTGGCGGAGCAGGAGGCACAGTTCCGGCCCGTCTTCAACCCGCCGCCCGGCTCCTACGGCTCCCGCGGCTCCCCGATCTCGCGGGCCGCCACCCCTGCGGCGGCTTCTCCCAGCAGGCAACTCCCATAGGTCTCCTATCTCCCCCCCCCCAACTCATCCAGCTCAGATGCCCCTAGCTCAGTGTTTAGCCCGTGGACCACCCCGGCCACTGACCCCTGGCGGCAAAATGCATTCGCTTATCTCTAAATACCAGGAATACAAAGTGATTCGTATTACGGAAACATAACAAATATTTTTATACTCTTTGGTTTTATTCGGTAAAGTCACATGGGTAAAATAAAAGAAAACAATTAAATCACGACGTTCCGGGGGCAACACAAGCTTCCGTCTTCAGGTGGAACAGTCACAGCAGAATATCTGTGTCAAGTGCACAATTCCGAGACGACTTGGATCATATATAGGTCAGGGGGGGGGGGGCGGGGAGCCAGAAAGGAACGTGGGCAGGTGGGAGGGCTGAATTGAGCCGCCTTTTGTTAAACTGCAGGGGGTTCCGGGGGAGGGGTGGTGCACTGCACAAAAGCGGGTAAACAACCCTTTTTTTACATGCCGTTATACTTTTAGGGGGGGCCAGGGGGCATTTAGATATTAGGGTTAGGGTAGTTTAATCAGGGTACTTTAGCTCACGTCATTCAATAAATTGCTTTATATTATTAATTAACGTCAAAAACTTTTACTTAACGCGGACCACCTGGAGGAGCGTCCCGGACCACTCACGCTGGTGGTCCGGGGACCGCACTTTGAGAACCACTGCTACAGCGCCTTCTCCAAACTGCCCCCCCCACTGAGCTTCCAGCTCCTTCCCTCTCAGCTCCTCGCTCTCCCCTAGCTCCTTCCTCGCTTCCCGAGTGCCCCACTTCCAACCCCCCCCCGCCCCCCGATCGCTGTTTTTATACACACGGAGCGAGCGAGTGAGCAGCGCACTATAATTGTTCGGGTGACTTGGGTGTGGAAATACGACGTCAAGTTAACCTGCACGAGGCGTCGGCAAATGGGCGATTGTGACTGGTTCCGAAGCCGGGTTGGCGGGCTGGTGTGGTGAAGGTGTTTTTGGTCAGGTTTTACAGTTGAGGGTTGGGATGTTTTTATTTGACCCTGGAGCGAAACAAAGTCAAAGTCTATTCCCATGAACCAATTTTTCTGGTTCGAAACACAGGCGTCCTTGCCCGCACCTCAGATTAGCATGGTTGGCTCTGTACGATTATTTCTATACCGACAGCGCGTGTGGCGTGCAAGTATTGCAAAGATAAAGTCAAGCGCGTGAAATGTAAAACTAAAACTCCAATGCCAGGATAATGTTATTAATGCAGTAGAGGTCACATCGTCACACTTTTGACACCACTATCCAGGTTAACTGTCCCATGACAATTTACAAATGATATTTAACGGCATTTTAAAAAAATAATCCCAAATACAAGTAGCAACAAAGGTCACGGTCCGGGATTAACTCAGCCCATCATCATCCCTCCTGAAAGTTGGAAAAATACCGCTGAGTTGTAGCGCGCGCGTGTTCAGGGAGCTGCTTCAGTTGCTGAACATGGGAGCACAACACAGAAAACCTACCACGGAAGTTATCACCACCAAGGTAGTTGTCCTCGGGTTAAACTGAACTCACTGTGGGAATGTGGAACTTCTACCACGTGCTCAGGGCCATACATGCAAATTAGCATTAGCCGCATGCTCGTTTGAGCAGTGGGATTTCTTCCTTGACTTATTGACATGGGGACCGGCGTGGCCATTTGGGGCTGGTTAATGGTTTGCATAAAAGACCCCGAGTGGAATTTTTCACCTTGGTTTGTCTTTGCCATCTGAACAATGGGGGGGGGGGGGGGAAACATTGATACGTTTTTTTTTCTGGAAGCAAGCCACTTTGCCTAAACTTCAGACGAGGAACCTCTTTGCAGCGGCATTTACAAATAAAAATTTCCGTCGAGATGTGATTGGATTGAAGCACTGGCCTGGTCGTATCGGAGGACGCATATCCTCCTCCCTAAAATTTTCGACGCGGGGGCTTGCCAAGTAACCCAACTTCTCGACCAAACGCTGCAGCGAAACTAGCGCGGTGCACAATTGACTTCCCGGCCAGGGCGCTGGAATACATCTCAATGAAAACCTCAACATTTTATCAGGAGAATATTTTATATTTTTTAAAACTCGTGTCAGTAAATGTTTTTACATTTTCTCTTCAAATATACGCTGGAGTTTTCACCTCATGGCTCCAGTGTGGTGTCTTGTGAATTATGTGCGTGTGTCATGTGACCTCTTTTGTCAGTACCAAAATATAATAGGGTTTTTCCCCTTTTTTCTGGCAACAAAACTGAAACCTTTTTACAAGGAATCATGTGTGCATTAACCACAATACTTGTGGTCAAAATGCAAACACACTGATAATATGATGCATTGTCCTTGAAACTGATTGGTCCACACCAGAGACGGCTTTCTTTTGAGCCGCGTCTCAATTGGTGCTAGACCAGAGGACGCCAAAAGGCGTACCCCGAGCCATCATTGCTTTGAAAGTTCATTGTCTTTGAGCTGTACTCTTTGGTTCTTTCGGTAAAGTCACGTAAGTATAAAAAATGTTTTTATTTTATTTTTATACCTGTGACTTTACCGAAAGAACCAAAGAGTGTGTCATGTGACCTCTTTTGTCAGTACCAAAATATAATAGGGTTTTTCCCCTTTTTTCTGGCAACAAAACTGAAACCTTTTTACAAGGAATCATGTGTGCATTAACCACAATACTTGTGGTCAAAATGCAAACACACTGATAATATGATGCATTGTCCTTGAAACTGATTGGTCCACACCAGAGACGGCTTTCTTTTGAGCCGCGTCTCAATTGGTGCTAGACCAGAGGACGCCAAAAGGCGTACCCCGAGCCATCATTGCTTTGAAAGTTCATTGTCTTTGAGCTGTACTCTTTGGTTCTTTCGGTAAAGTCACGTAAGTATAAAAAATGTTTTTATTTTATTTTTATACCTGTGACTTTACCGAAAGAACCAAAGAGTATGGATCCCTGCAGTCACGAAAACTTCAAAAGGTTTCAGTTTTGTTGCCAGAAAAAAGGGGTAAAACCCTATTATTGTGCGTGTGCTTAAAGAGCGGGGGTGTGGAACCTACGGCCTCCAGGCTGTCCGCTGGCCACACGAATCCTACCGCTTTTATCCATCACTACAAGTATCTTAGCTACACTCATTGAATCTGCCAACACTTCTTTTCCAATTTTAGCATGCACACTCACTTCCGTCTCTGCAAGGGCCTCCTTGCGGTGTGACACAAGTGACGGCGCTGCGTGTATGAATGCGGGACCCGCCAAAGGTATTTAAAAATTCTCTTCGGTCCTCAGTGAGGAGAAAAGATTCCCCATCAACTAAAAGAGAAATTATCCATCCCGAGCTTATACTCAAACAAGAGCTGTCACCAAGGCTCGTGGGATTGGGGCATATCGCAACCATGGTCAAGCAAACAAACTTCTTCACAGCGACTCATCGCCACCCCGCAAGTCTGCATAGCAGCGGTGTCTCAACGCTAGACAGTCTGCATAAACCCACCAGTATAAGATCAAGCTGGTTCTGCACATGCAACAATGAAGGGTGTGAAGATGCGACGAATCATAGATGCTCAATCTCACAACACGTGCACCGAATTGTGAGCCTCAATTCCAACAATGCATTGGATCGCCCAGGGAGGGTGAATAATAACACCCCCCATTTCACATGCTCACAATACATGCTGCAAACGCACGAAATGTATTTCATTTTGGAGATTGAGCGTTGCAGCATTTGTGTTTCAGTTGGGATGCAGGTAAACCACCAGAGGCGATTACATGAACCAATTTAACAAGTTGAGATAGCGAGTACGACACCAGATCAGAATCTTTATTTAGACTGCAGGAAGAATCCGATGTGCTATGAAGCTCTTTTTGCACATATGTCCAGTATGGGAGGAGTAAACAGGGCCCAAGGTGGAGCTCACCCCGTGCAACACTTTCGAGAGCAGCAGATTTTACATGAATGGCCTTTGTCTCGGTGCTCGCAAATGACACAAACAGTACCAAGGTGGTCCTGGCGAAGCACCCCGCTCGGCTGCCATCATATGAGGACCAATGGGGACATTCGGCAAAAAGCTGTCATGGAAAAGGTGAAGAGAGACCACTCGACTGGTCGGCCGGTGAGAGTGGTTTGCACGAGTTACAGGATGTACAAGAGAAACCGGTCAGGCGTTATTATATTTGACTTTGACCAGCATCCAGAATCAACAGATATCGACCACAGGTGTAGAACGTGTCCACGTCCAGCAGATTTCAGAGATCTGTCCTCTGGTGGCGAGGCAAAGGCAATGCAGAAAATGAGTTGTGAACCAGTGTGTGCAAACGTGAGTGTTAGCGTCAGGTGCTTTGGTTTCTTCCGATATGCAAAGGTGACCAAACATAAATGCAGACGATTAGTGATTTCCTGAAGCTTTTCACCATCGAAAAAATAAATGTCATTATCATAGAACAAGTTGAATGTATTTATGCCAATAGCGTAGCAAACATTGTCACTTTATTGTGCATCACACAGCCGTACGGGGTTTCACGCGGTTAAGATGACGACAGTGCAATGGATATCGCTCCTGATTTCATGACGTACTTTTTACAACAAAAATTTTAAATAGCCTCGGGAGGGACTCGCCCGACTCGCGTCTGCTTCACATGCAACCACGCATGTTAAATCAGGCGCAAATGTTCCGTTCCAAGCCATCGACTCCACACACACGCGCGCGCTGACCCTCACTCGGCGGTTTTTCGAAGCACCCTTGCGCGCGCACGCGTGGGGGGGGGGCGACCTTTTAGAGACGACGCGGCCTTTAAGAACAAATACACCGTGCGTTCATGGTGCGTGGACGTTTTGCGTTGCGAGAGATGTGCCCTCTACGTTGCCGAGTTCCAAACTCCGAGCGCCCGCCAACGGACCGCAGCGCAATGGCAACAGCGCCGTCGGAGCGGGCGCGCATGAGATTTTGACGTCAAATGCATTTGCACGGTCGGGAGATGCGGCGCCGAGAACGGCGGAAATAAAAAAAGGCCCTGTGCACTCGATGCGGCAGGTGCAATCTCTCTCCTACGGTGGCATGCGTGGAGACAAGTTAAGACCCGGCAGAGCAGCCGACGATTGTGGAAGCCGCTCACAAACCCGATGGAGGGGAGAGCGAGAGCGAGACATTCCTCTCCAAACTATGCTAAACTAAACCACGTTTTGTTTTGCCAGGTAAGACGCGACTGAGCTATGTGCGTCTTTTTCAGAAGCAACCTAGCCACAAATGATAGCTGAACAAAGTGGCTCATCATTTACACCAGCCAAATACTCTAAATTCATGCCGATTCTAAATGTGGAGGGGGAAAAACCGGAAGACACGGAGAAAAATCCACGCGACCACGGGGAGAGACATGCAAACTCCAAATAAATAGGCGTCAGGGTTGGGATCAAACCTATGACCTCCTGTATAACAGGCGGGGCAGTTAGAATCTTGCCACCGCAGCGCCCAATATCACTGCACCTGCAAGGAGGCACAGGTGCGAGTTAAAGACACGATAACTCGTTCGTCTGTCAATCTCACCTGTGATGTCGGTGACCAAAGTGAGATTAATTTGCTCATTGTAACTCTCATGTAGATGCAAGGGAGATCAGGCACGCGAGAGATGCTGTGTATGTTGACAATTCTTTATGTGAGCACAAGAGACACTACCCACGCTGACCAGACCTGGCGTCAATTACAATTGTAACTTGTGTGAATCTTAAAGAATTGCAATGTAATTGATAGTTCAACTCACAATACTGTTATTACTGTGATGATGAATAACCCCAGATCTTATGGTAACACTGCTATTCATGTGAAAATGGCTCGCAAATTGTTTCATATCATTACAAAAGTATTCCCCTTTCCTCGGAATTATCTCATCAACAATTAATTCTCCCCCGCATTATCACAGACACGAGAGGCTAACAGGACTTATAAATCAATGATGACCTGACATGGTAAACCATGTTACAACGTCTCTCATCAAATGTACAAAGTGGAGGCACGCAGCTTGGACGGGTCGACCACCGTGCATATTAAAAAGGCGAAAATAAAATATTTTTGAAAAAACCAAACAAGTTGTACTTGTATATATGTTGAACTTCTCTCACACCGTACGTTGCCAACCGTGATAATCGGCAGCTGTAGGACTACGTTGCGGGCAGCAGGGAGCTGTGCAGCAACATCCATTGTTGTACTGTACTCTGCTTCCACGTCTTCATCTAACCCTAACCCCATTTTTCATATTCTTAGCTCTTTCAGTAAAGTCACGTTGAAGGGAAACAATAAAGTAAACAATAAAATAATATATTTTATTATTTTATTGTTTCCATTCAACGTGACTTTACCGAAAGAGCTAAGAATTACTGCAGTCACGAAAGCTGTAAATCAAAACCTAACCCCATTGTTTCAACGGCCTCTATAAAATCGGTACAAAAGGTTTTATTTTTAAAAATGGAGCCGGTGGAGCCATCCTCTTCAGCGGGCCGAAACTTATTTCGCACCGCACGCAGCACAAACCCGTCACGCCGATCGGCGGCGCTACTTGAGGTCCATGAAGCGAATGTCCATGACGAGGAGGATGCTGCGGGGTAGGGGCCGCGGCGCGGGCGACAGCACGGTGAACACCTGGCGCTCCGAGTCGACGGCCGTCACCACCAGGAAGCCGGCGACGCTCGCCTCCACCAGGTTCTCCTGGGTGCTCTCCGCCATGCTCAGGCTGAGCACGTGGTGCACCAGGTCGCGCCCCGGCGTGATGGGCACCACCTTCAGCTGGTTCTCCTCCTGGGACATGCCCAGCGGCAGGCACGAGTCCGGGATGGGCGGCGCCCCGACCTGTGGCGCGACGACACCACGCACGGTTACGCGCGGCGCGGGCCGAGGGGCGGGCCGGTAAAACACCACTGGAACTCCGATCACTTATTCACACCAAGAACAAAACAAGAAAATTTTCTCTGCAAATTTGGCTATCGCCTGATGGTGCTGGTTGTAATTACTGGCAGAACGTCGTACTCGAATTGTAAACGTTGCGGGTTTACTCTCCAAAACACCGGCGTGCTGTACTAGTAACGAATTGGCATGTTCTGTTTACGTGGGAAACCTTACTAATTGGCTGTGTGGGTTTAACAACACATTTATATTTAAGCGATCTAACCCAAAAACCTTTATTATGGATAATATTCACACCGAGATCGCCGGCGGTGCCGCCCGCTGATGTGACGTACGTGCACAGCTACCCTTTTGTCATTTCACTGCTGGATGAGGGCCCTCCCCACACCGTGTGGGTCATGGTAGGTTGTTTGGCCGTACTTCACCGAGCTGGTCAGTCCGGGTTGGTAAAGGCAGGGCGCGTGAAAGTAGGAGCACAGGAATGCAATACAGTTGTCCCTCACTGTAACGCGATTCACCTTTTGCGGCCTCGCTGTATCGCGGATTTTATTTAGTGTAATTTTGCATGCTTTTTTTTCCTGCATACAGTATGAACGCGCATTGTGTTCGGCGTCCTGATTGGCTAAGGGAGAACCGCACATGTGTTCTGTGTCATGATTAGCTAAGGGAGTACAGAATGCGTTCGGCTAGCCAGATTTACAAAAATGTTTGGGCTTGAAAACAGGTTTTGATCTTTGGTTTCATTTACTAATATTGTACTTATTTTTTTAAATCTGCGAAAGTTTGAACTTTGAGAGTGTTTAAATAAGAGAGAAATGTGAGAAAATGTTAATGCCTGTCTGAGAAAAGTGTATAAAATTGTGTGGTTAGGGGTTTTACGGCCTTAAAACATGTATAATAATTGTAAAAAATAAAGCTGATTACTTCGCGGATTTCGTCTATTGCGGGTTATTTTTAGAACGTATCCCCCGCGATAAACGAGGGACCACTGTACACCATTGGCTTTTGCTGCACTGCCCTCTGCTGTCCACAGCATGAACCCGTTTTTATACAGTGGTCACCCAATCCAAGCGACATCGAGGCTCAGCTCTACTGAGCTTTCCAGGCCCGACAAGATGTCATCGGCAATTTGGTAAAAATGTAATCGAAATGATACAAAATATGGGCCTTGGCTTACTTTACAATACATTCAAAACACAAACCATGGAATACGGGTGAACGCAGATATATACATTTTTAATAACAGTATCAAAAAAAGATACATTTGCAAACACGGTGAAAAAAGGGTACAAAAAGCGCACGGCTCACCTTGTAGAGCTTGACGTCGGAGAACTTGACATCGAAGGCGTGCGGGAAGTAGGCGTTGCGGAAGCCGTAGAAGTAGCGGCGAACCAGCTCGTCGCGCCCCTCACGGCGGAAGTCTTTGGATCGCTCCACCACACCGCCCGACTTGGGCAGCAGCACCGTCTTGACGAAGTGGGGCAAGTCTCGCTTGAGCTCCGTGTACAGCCGCTCCTGATCCAGCACCAGGATCACGTCCACCTGCCAGCATCGCAGGGACGAACGGTGAATCGTCGTCGTCAGCGTCATCGTTTGGTCCGCAGTCGTCGCGATGCGACGACTGCGGGCCAATTCAACGTCTATAACGTGCAGCATCTCAACGTGCCACTGTGCAGAAATCGTGCATTCTGCACTGAATGAGACATTTGGATAGACAAAACAAGTGCAAGGGTTCGGGGCACTGACCACAGGGTCATGCCGCTCGATCAAACCACACAGAAAACTACGTTGTTATCCACTTGGGAAATGTCCTAATTATTTAGCCCGATGGTATTTGTCAACAATGGGGAGGCAAGTGGGATGTATGTATGTTGTTTCGCACCATACGCCGGATTCTATGTTAAGTGATTATGCGAGGGGGGGGGGAGTGCGGGAGGCTGGGGATGGGCGGAGGGTGGTAGGCACGGCGGCGGGGGGTGGTAGTAACCTCAAACGCGGTGGCGGCGTGGATGAGGGCCTGGTAGCCGGCTCCCTTCACCCAGCCGCACGTGTTAATGACGCAGCCGCTGATGGCCGCGCGCCGGTTCACCTTGCACCGCTGGTCGAACACATCGGCGAGCTTCGACACCACCTGCCGCACGCACACGCGCCCCACGGTCACATCGCGCTTCGGGACAACGGCGCTCACTCACGTTGAAAAGACGACGGGGTGAAACTGCGTCGATTCTCACGTCGGCTATTTGCCATTTGCATTTCCAACATACGGTACATGTGGCAGGCGCTTTTTATCGATTCACTGCTGGATGATGGCCTTTCCATGCCTTGCAGGTCACCAGGGTTGTTTGCTGCACTGTCCTCTGCTGTCATAAAACCTATCCCCGCGGTACAGTATTATATATTAAGTTATTTGTGTAGTTAAATAAAACGTTATAAACAGCGCTTTGTGAGGGATTGTTTAACCAGTTCACCATGCTGGTAAGTGCAGGCTGTAGAACATCTTGAGGTGTTGTTGTACTGAGATGCTATTAAAATTTTGTTGCACTCAGAAGCTATTAAAATGCTGTTGCATTCAGATGCTTTGGTGACCGACTTAATCACAGTTGACCAAAACTCAGCCTCAAATGCAACTTTCTCAGCGGTGCCGCGGGCTCAGCGCTCTCGAGCCTCCTTCTCAGCCGCCTCTCCCTCTCTCTCTCGCTCTCTCCCTCGGCCAGCCACCGGTGCATTGCCTTGTTGTAGAGTTTCACGTTGGAGCTGGGCGTGGTGGAGCCAAAGTGATAGACGAGCGGCGCCTGCAGGTTGAAGCCCTCCTCCGTGTCGGCGGGCCGCTCGATGTACAGCAGCGCCAGAGTGCCGGGGATGGACACGGAGCCCTGGCCCACGTCCAGCTCCACCAACGTGGGCCGACGGCCGAGCCGTGCCGCGTAGCTGCACAGCAGGCGGCACAGCGTGCTCTTGCCCACGTCGCCGGGGCCCGCGACCATGACCCGGGGGCCTCGCTCTTCCTCCTGACGCTCGGCCTGCACGCGCATCTGCTCGAGCGCCGCGTGAACGTTCAGGTAGAGCAGCATCGGCGTCTCCTGCGCGTGGGCGAGATGGCGACACGTGCCGTGGCGGTGGTTAATGCGGGGTGGGCGCTCACGCGCCGCCCGTACGCGTTATCTCCTTGAGCGGCGGGTGGTGACAAGGACGAGCGGGTGGCTCCACAAACACCCTGAATAATACTGCGGTGCGTGTCAACCATAAAACGCCTGCCGCCCGCTTCGCAGTGGACTTTAAAAGATCCCGTGACATTCTTAGAAAAGGAGTAAGCCATGTGTGCCAGTATCACGGTTCAAATGAGCCAGATATGAAAAATTACTGATAAATCCCTTACTCGGGAAATCAGAGCAATATCGCCCCCTACTGTGAAACTGCTGATTATAATTGTAAATGAAACGGCGCCTTCGTTATAACCTTGCGCTGTAAGCGTAAATAATTTAATCGGTTCTCTTCTTTTCCCTCCCTCCAGCTGATGAGCAACGATGGGGCCAAATTAACTCTCTCCATCTTTTCCCTTTACCAGTGTTGCTTCAATCAAACTTTGCACTCTTTTTAAACCAACTCGTTGTCTCTCTCTACTTCACCAGGAAGCATACCGGGTCAGCAAAAAAGCACATGTTGTGGAATACTGGGAAAAAAATGCATATTCGGAGGGAAATTAAATCATCTGTGGAGTCAAATCGGTAGAATAGCTGCCCAGCCAGTATTTGCATGTGGTGACAGCACCTCCCACCAAACTGAAACTTGTTGAAATTCATGTCATATCCGCGGGTGATGTGAAGTTCACAAACGCAAAATCAAATTTGAGTACGTGAAATCACGTTTTTGCCTGACACTCGCGTACCACCGAGTGCTCGCAGACCGGTAAAATAACATTTCTAAAGGCCATTTTTGCACAACTCTGCCATAAGCAGTCCTCCATTTACACTGCAGCTCAGGCGCATGGCACGCACGTACACAAATGCGTGCGCTGACACACGCGCGCGCACCTTGGCGACATAGGCCACCTCGGTGAGGCCCGTGAGCTGCACGCTGCAGCCATGCCACGTGAACACGGCGACTTTGGAGCCGGCGTCAAACACGTAGCGTTTGTTGCGCGTCAGCTCGGTGCCGAAGATCTCTCCCATGCCGCTGAGAAGCTCCAGCGTCGCCGTCTGCTGGGGTTCCACCTCGAAGCGCAGCTCCATCTCTTTCTCCAGGTCAAACTTCTGCATCGGCCGATCGTCCTTCTCTTCCGACATCGTCGCCCGCTCAAATCTAGATGACGCGATGCACGGCGCAACAAGCACGGTGAGAAATGGATTTGGTTTATTTGATCAAAGTAGGCTTGCAATCAATTGCAAAACAGTACCATTCAAATCAAGATTAATACCATTTGGATTTAGACAGTGAATATATGATCTCATCCTAAGTGTCAATGAGTGAATGTAAGTGATGACGTTCTTTTAAACTCACCCCTCCAGATTTTACTGTTAATTCTCTGCCTCCTCATCAACTCCCACCCTGAGATTTTCCCACCACCACCACCACCATCTCTGGCTTATTCCCTCCCTCGTACGGCTTCACGTTCTCTCTGCCTCATCTTCCACCTCATTGTTTCAGTCAACTCCTCAATCTTTCCAATCTCAGTATCTGCTCACCTCTCCCCCCCTCCCTCCCTCATCTCTTGCTCCTCCTGCCGAGAAACCCGCTACAATCACCACCTCCTTCCCCTCATTGTCCCTCCACTCACCTCACCCCTGCTCCCTCCCCCGCTCCACGGTAGTCCCTCACTCGCTCTTCTTCATCCAATTCCTTAAAACTCGCCACGATCTTCTCCCCGACGACTCCTCTTTATCCACTCCCTACTTATCTCTTCCCATCCTAAACTAAACTATTTTTTTTAAATTTTACCAGGTAATTCCCACAGAGCTCTTTTTCAGAAGCGACCCGGCTAACACTAATGACCCCCACCCCCTCATTCCCTTCCTCCCAAACCCTCATCGTCCACTCTCTCTTATCCCCTCCAACCTCATCACTTCATCTCCGTGACAACTCCCGTATCTCTCCCCCTCATACCTCCTATTACTATCGCCACCACCACCATCCCACCTCCTCTCTCCTCACCACCCCCCCGACTCCTCTCGGCTTCTACCACCGCCGCCGCCTCCTCCCCATCCCCTCACCCTCGCTCGCTCGTTCCCTCGGCACGTCGGCAGACGGGGGACTTCCTCCTCCTCCTCCCCATTCCCTCACCCGTCCCTCCGCACGTCGGCAGGCTTCCTCCTCCGCTTACGAGCTGCGACCCCAACCGAGTGTGCGCAGCGGGCGTCGGCAGAGAAAACAAAAGTGACCCCCATTGCAATCCCCGCCGTGTCGCCTTACAACAAACACAAGACTGTTGGGGCCAGCGCAGTCGGCGGGTAGCGAGCAACCTGTGAAGGCACTGTGGCACACCAGGGGGTGGGTGGGTGGCCGGCCGGCCGGGACCACGCGCGGGCCACCTTTGACGATGTTTACGACGCACCGCTACCGATTTGGGGCCGGTCGTGAGATGACCGTCAGCGGTGGAGGTGGCCGTGAGCGCTCGCCGGGGTTCGTAGCGCAGCGCGGACAACAACAACAACAGCAGTAGCAGCAGCAGCCATTCGCCACTAAGTGACGGTGAGGTCACCACGGCGCCTGTGCCAGGCTAGGTGCTACGTTGAGGCGTGTCGAACGCCCGTCGGCAGGAGGTCACGGGAGCAGACACAGCTGGTGCCACGGGTTGACCGACTGAGATGAGTGGCCGACGCACCACCCGTGCCCCCTACTGTGCCAACTCGCTGCGCTTTAGCCCCCTTCCTCCCGACGCTCTGCTCGTTGTTGTGAGCGTCGCTCCTCTGCCCTCCGCTGTTGTTGTTGTCGGTGGTAAGGGCGACTGCCATCCAACTTGCCCCAAGTAGCAGCGGCGTCCTTCACGAGCCTCCTCCGCGTGACACCGCTCCCACACACGCACACACACATACACGACGACGTACGTACGCCGTCGCGTCCCTGCAATTAAACGAGCTCGTTTGCCGACGAGGCGAGTCACACAGGCGGGCGAGAGGCAATTCGTGCCGAGGGCTTCCTCCTCCATCAACGAGCGAGCAACAAAGCGAGTCCGCGTGCGGCTCCACTCCGCCGCGAACGGCGCACTGCGCGTTTCAGGGCCGCCGCTCGTTTAAATCACACGCCGGCAGTGCGGCGACGGTGGGAATCGTCATTCCGGAGGGTCTGTGAAGATCGTGAGAAGGGTTTTTTTAATATATTTTTTTAAATTTTTAAAAAACGTGTTTCGTGTGGTGTAACTCACATTGGCGCCACGCTCCGCGACGTTTCCGAACGCCCCCCTCCTGGTGCGCTTCGCTTGACCCTTGACCCCCGACGGCGGCGGCGAGGAGGATGGAGGCCGCGTTCGGTAACTCCACCGCGCGCAACTGTACACAGCGCGGTGACGATTCATACTGTAAATATACGTCGTCGAATTTATGTTTAAAAAATATATTTAATGTATATTTTTTTAAGTTGTGTAATAAAAATATGTATAAAAAAGTGTGTAATAAAAATGTTTTTTTTAAAATCGCATCTGTGCACAATAAAAAAACAATTGTAAACAAATAATCACACCGTTAATTAATGACGGAAAGGAAAAAAATAAATATTAGCATAATACGATAATTATCACTGTTTACTCCGTATTCTTGTACAGGGAAACAATACGGGCAAAAAAATGTAAATTTGTGTGTTTCTCTCTTCGTGATGGGACTTTGTAGGACGAAGGTTGAGATTTATAAGTGGCACGTGGTGACCAATAATGTCTGAATTGGTCTACATAAATAAATTATACAACCAAACCCTAGAGCCATATTTTAGGCCACTGAATAGCAGTGGCAGCTAGGGGTGTACAACTCCTCTAGAGCAGTGGTACATGTTATGTCGTGAAAATTCGGTCACAGTTCCTATGATCACTGTTACATTGCTTTTATGGCTTTGTTTTGGTGATTTTCGAAAAGTGTTTTGGTTTGGCCATGTTTGTTGTAGTACGGAGTTAGACTGATGGCCTTAATCTAAGTTTTCTTGTGGTTGTTGTTGTTTGACTTGCATCCCACTGGGATTTTTGCACACAGCGTTGGTGTACGGTGCTTTTTTCAGGAATATTTAGCTGTTTTTTTCTTGGATTTTCTGTTTGCACAGTCACATAATCACTTTAAGATGTTTTCTTGTTCATGTTTTTTGTTTGTTGCGGTTGCACCCGATTCAAGAGCCAAATGGCTCACAGGGCTGTACCAAATAAATGAAATGAAAAAACGATGGTGTGTTGTTCTCACTGTTTGTTGTGCGGCCCGCCCTCTTGTTTCCCTTGTGATGGAGTTGCCTCTCGCAATTAACAAAATTCGAGTCCTCGAAGCAACAGCCCCTAACCCTTCGAAAGGCAATTCTCGAAAGTAACTATCATCAGACCCCGTGGCATTAAGTCTTGTGCTTGTCGTGCACGAGCACAACTAATAAACACAAACTCAACAATACTGTGGCTTAAAAAAACACATTCCTGCAGAGGGAGCTGGTAATAGGAACGTTGGGTTGCTCGGTCAATGGCCAGGGTCAACGGCGGCACCACGTGGTGTATTCCACAAATATACCCGACTGTGAGGGCGGGCACAAGCCGGCGTGAGTAGGTTAAACGTTGAGTTTTATAAGGGCACCACGGGGTGACCAGCCCCTCCCCACCCAACCCCACCCCTCCCACCCAGCCCCTCCCCACCCAGCCCCTCTCCACCCTCCCCACCCAGCCCCTCCCCACCCAGCCCCACCCCACCCAGCCCCACCCCTCCAATTTTTGGATGCACGACGGACGGACACAATAATCCCCTGTGGGCTGGTGTAACCAGGAGGTTCCTACCAGTAATATATACATAGGCGACCCATGTATTCTTCTTTGGTTCTTTCGGTAAAGTCACGTAGAATGAGAATAAAATAATAAATTGATAAAATAAAATAACACAATAATATTCTCACGACGTTTCGGCCACAACACAAGCGGCCTTCATCAGTGAAGGGACGAGACTGTCTGGTAGGACAGCGCTGGAGTGAAAGAGCCACGTTCAGATCACGACCTTTAAGCTGTGTGAGAGGAAACAAAGCGCCTTGACAAAGGAATTAGCATATAATTTAGCATTGAAATGGCTGATTGATTAGCTTGTGACTGGTCACAGAAATAGCTATGTTAAAACATATACATCCGCAGAGGCACCCCTTGACAAAGGAATTAGCATAGAATTTAGCATTGAAATAGCTAAGTTAAAGCATACACATCCGCAGAGGCACCCCTTGACAAAGGAATTAGCATAGCATTTAGCATTGAATAGCTGAGTGATTAGCTTGTAACTGGTCACAGAAATAGCTACGTTAAAGTCAGAGCATACACATTCACCGAGGCACTTAGTACAAATCAAACAGGAGAATTTAGCATTGAAATAACTAGGCGAATTTAGCATTGAAATAACTGAGTGATTAGCTAGTGACTGGTCACAGAAATGACTATGTTGAAGTCAAGGCCTACACATCTGAGCTATTCACAGTACTATATAGTGAACCAATAAAAAAAAAATATATAAATTACCTTAATGTTATCAATAAACTCTATTCTCCAATCAGCTAAGCTACCAACAATAAGTCGTTATATATCACAATGCTATATGGCGAAAAAATGGGTGGATTCTTACCGGACATGTGTGAAAAAAGAGCTTCATAGCTCATCGGATTCCTCCGTGTATAAATACATCTTCTGATAACGCAAATCAAGGTTGGAAACTGCACCATGGGGCCTGACAAGCTATGCATTCACGTGTTTTTTTGTTTATCATGACTAGTGTTTAAATAGGCATATGAACGGTTACATAAGAGTCCATGTTGAGTACCAAACAAACCCTTTCAATAATCAAAAATATTACCGAATAAACTCATTCAAGCAAGAAAATTTGAAGAAAAAAACCCGCCACTTTTTAAAAAAATTCTTGCTGTGGCTTTCACACCTGATGATGATTGCTTGTGTTGCGGTCGAAACGTCGTGAGAATTTTATTTTTTATATTTTTATTTTTTTATTGTTTCCCTTCTACGTGACTTTACCGAAAGAACCAAGATTATGAATCCCTGCAGTCACGAAAGCTTTAAATCAACAATTCAAGTACATATTATAAAATCTCGCCGGCACAATGCTTTGTGGGAAGGTGTGCCCATGTGAAGTGGGAGTTATCCAGATTTGAACCCACCACACACGCCCTGCCCATCAACTCACCGTGCTGTGGCCGTTTTTACTGCAGTATTCTATTCTTGCATCTTGCCAAAATATTCGGGAGCTGAATGCCAAGGACAAGAGGGCTTCAGGAGTTCAGAGAGTTTGTGTAGTCAGCTTAACACGTAGTATGCTTTCGCGACCAATATTATTCATGATTAAGTTTTTGGGTAAGATCACGTGAATATAAATGTGTCGTGCACCCACCACCACCCGACACAGCCAATTAGTAAGGGTTGTCACGTTTGTATTCTTGGTTCTTTCGGTAAAGTCACGTAGAAGGGAAACAAAATAATTAACATATAAAACAATAAAATTCTCACGACGTTTCGACTGCAACACAAGCAATCATCATCAGGTGTGAAAACCACAGCAAGAAAATTTGAAAAAAGTGGCGTTTTTTTTACGTTAGCACCACGGAGATTGATTTGGCAGTTATTCAGATGGACGAGTCCATCTATGTTCGGAAAAGAGGAGGGGGGAAATTTTAAATCAAAATTTGTCACGTTCGTGTGTTTTTTTTCCATGACCAACTTTGTTGGAGGGTCGCAGATTCCAGTGGTTAACCATATGGTCCACAGTCTGGGTTGCATGGCCACAATCGCACTACTGTGGCTTGTCTGAAACATCTATCTGTGAGTCGCTATGGGTCCCCGTGAGTTTGCCAAATAGTCCATGGTCTAGGCTGCATGGCCACAATCGCACTACTGTGGCTTGTCTGAAACATCTATCTGTGAGTCGCTATGGGTCCCCGTGAGTTTACCAAATAGTCCATGGTCTGGGCTGCATGGCCACAATCGCACTACTGTGGCTTGTCTGAAACATCTATCTGTGAGTCGCTATGGGTCTCCGTGAGTTTACCAAATAGTCCATGGTCTGGGCTGCATGGCCACAATCGCACTTCTGTGGCTTGTCTGAAACATCTATCTGTGAGTCGCTATGGGTCCCCGTGAGTTTACCAAATAGTCCATGGTCTGGGCTGCATGGCCACAATCGCACTACTGTGGCTTTTTTATTTTCCATTTGTGTAGGAGATGTGCACAGCGGCCTATTGATCCCGTTTTGCTCACGTGTGTTCTTTTGGCAAACCGTACCCGTATTTATTTTACAGATGTCCGCTTTTAAACATTCTGTATCTTAACTGCAAAAAAAGGCTGGCTGAGGGATGTCATTTTCTGTACAGTGCTTATGTACATATGTATTGTAGATACGGTAACCCATTTGCTTCTCTCGCAGTTAGCGATGTATGAAGACATGGGATTAGATTGTACAGATGCAGTTTAGATGACTGTTGTGAAATTATGCTACACGGTGTGTGGGTGCCAACTTATACAACTCAAGACATGTGAGTAATCGGACGCTGGAAGTGTTTGGTAACTCACGCGGGTACATCACGGTTACATCGTATGCGATGCCAAAAGCTCTTCGAAATATCCGAATCTAGAGGGCAAGTGGCCGAGCCAAGCGGTGTTCGACTAGTCCTGGATCTAAAGGTTCGCCTACCTTTTAAAATATATGTAAATAATAACCTCTGCTGTAGAAAGAATGTCATCGGCCGAAACTTTACCGAATTCTATGAACGTCTTTGCCTTGTATTGCGGTGGCGTTGATGAAGTGAGTATTTTTTTGCACTATGCAGCAACAGATCCCCCCCCCCCCCCCCCACCAATATAAAAGTGACTCCAATCGGTAAAACTGCAATTCGCCGTGGAATGCGTGACGACCTCTGGGGCGTAATTAGTCCTTCAGCAGGACTTGATGACTCTAAGTTGTTGGGTGTCAGACGCGCACGTTCGTGTGGGCACATCGAGAGCGACCTTGGAGTGTGTAGAGGTCACCAGTGTGTTTCGCTAATAGAAAAAGCAGCGCTGTCCCGTACTGAATTGGTGATCCTCTATTATTCGACAAATGTACAATTCAGCTTCGCGACTGTTCCTCGCCGTTGGTATTAATGGGCGTACTGTGGAGTGTATTAATTGACTCAATTGGCGTTTCTCCTCTGAAAAGACA